TTTCCGAGCCTCGGAGGACGCGTGAGGCCATTCAAACAAAGAACGCCACATACGGTAGTCCTTCCAGCTGGCCCAACCAAGTTCTCTTTCTCTCTCAAAAGTGTCGCCAGGCGTTCTTTGGTTATCCTCTTCTCTTTCGCCCAGAGGCTTGTTCCTATATGTGAACTAGCTTCGCTTTGGAGGATGTACGTGGCTTTTTCTTGCTCTCTCATACAATTCTTGGTTGCATATTTTTCCGGGTCAATGTACTTTTAGGATCCTCCCAAGGCATCTCCGATGGAATGTGTCCAACTTTTCATCGTCTTTCTCGGCGGTTCTCCGTAGTTCAGAACAATACAGCAACAGAGATAAAACACTTGTGTTGTTTGTGCTGACTTCCATATTTAAGCAAGAGATTCAAAAGAAGTCCTTGCAAGCCTAAACTTCTCCCTGTGTCTGTCTCATTTCCTTTCGTCTTGGGCATTGTGGCACCTAGGTAGAAACATAAGTAATCAAAGATTACGAAGCTCACCTCGACGAATGTTATCAGTTTAGGTAATGCAAAGCTCACATTATATTTTCTTAACAGATGATTTTTATTCTGACAATGATATTCAAGCAAGTTCTGTTTAAATAGGTCTAAAAATTCATTGGGGATTGTCCTGTTCCAAAAACTTTAACCTCGTTACTCATTTGGAAAATGTGGGTCAGATCCAGCATCCGTAGCAAGTTTCGATTGTCCATCCCTAGATGCATCATCCATGCAAGTTTGGTCCGGGTAGGGCTTATAGTTAGTTAGGAATAATCTAGTCACTAATCTGGTAAATGTAGGTCACATCCAGCATCCGAAGCAAGTCTGGTAGTGTCCATCCCTTGATGCATTATCCATGCAAGTTTGGTCCGGGTAGGGCTTATAGTTACTTGGGAATAATCTAGTCACTAATCTGATAAATGTAGGTCAGATCCAGCATCCGAAGCAAGCCTTGTAGTGTCCATCCCTAGATGCATCATCCAGGCAAGTTTGGTCCGTGTAGGGCTTATAGTTATTTGGGAATGGACGTGCTTTAAAAACTTTAACCTGGTCACTCATCTGGAAAATGTAGGTCAGATCCAGCATCCGAAGCAAGTCTGGTAGTGTCCATCCCTAGATGCATCATCCATGCAAGTTTGGTTCGGGTAGGGCTTATAGTTACTTGGGAATGGACCTGCTCCAACAACTTTAACCTGGTCACTCATCTGGAAAATGTAGGTCAGATCCAGCATCCGAAGCAAAGCTGGTAGTGTCCATCCCTAGATGCATCATCCATGCAAGTTTGGTCCAGGTAGGGCTTATAGTTACTTGGGAATGGACCTGCTCCTGAAACTTCAACCGGGACGCCGACACCGACGCCGACGCCGGAGGTATAGCATAAGCTCATCTCGACTTCGTCGAGGTGTGCTAAAAATGTTTCAACATCTTCCACATCCTTATTATTCAGCCCGATGAATTCTTCTTAATCTGTGTATTCTCGTGCATTTTGATTTGTCGCCATTGATTTTTAAGCGACGTCGTGTAGTATTATGGTATTTTCCTGCATGTCGATGTGTTTGCTGGAAAAAAGTGCAAAGTCGTCTGCAAAATTCAGGTCCTCTAATGTGGACATAAATTTCCAACATATATACCTGATGATTCCACAAATATTTCTTAGTATGTCTCACAGTTTTTCTCTTATTATGCTGTCATAGGCTTTTTTTTAAGTTTAAGAAGCTTATGTACAGTGGTTGTTGCCACTCTATAGCCTGTTTTTATACATTCCTTAGGCCTAATACTAGTATATAAATCCCTTCTGATATTCCTCTTCGATATGCAGCTTGCTTTGGTCTTAGGCTGTCTTCTATTCCTTCTCTAATTCCGTCAACCACTATTCTGCAGTACACTTTAGATGGCACCACTGATAGTTGTAATATAAATATACCTCTATAATTGTCACATACTATCGGATCTCCTTTCTAAAGTATACTGACAATTTTTTTGAGCTATCTCTTCCAGACTGTTGGTATTTCCTGCTCACTAATAATTCTGCTGAAAAAAAAATTTGTTAATTCTGATGTTGCATATGATATGCACTCCTCAGTACTTGTGCATTGATGTTAACTATGCCAGGGTTCTTTCCATTTTTCATTTGTGTGTGTGTGTGTTGGGGGGGGGGGTGCCTTTTTAATTCAACCTATACTGCATTGCCTTTTTATTTCATACTCTCTTATTGGCTTTGTGTCAATTTCAACAATTATTTACATGACGGGTTTTTCCTCATATTTCAAAATCATGACAAGGAGCACACGGCGGGTGTGGCCGGTCGGCAGGGGATGCTCACTCCTCCATTACACCTAATCCAACCTCTGATGTTTTGGAGGTTCGTGTTTTCTCTGCTTTTGTAATTTTGTATTGTTTCATGGACTTTTGAGCTTGAATACTGCTCGTCATTTCCATATACCGGTAATTGTTTCATTTAAGCTGGAATCCTTTGCATATTGTTGGATCTAACTTGCTGATGTCATACATCTTCCTGTTGCTTTCTTTTGGTTTTGAGTCTCTGCAGTGATTCATCTTTACGTTAGCTAGTATTAGATGGAGATCTAAATTGGCGTCTGCACCACATTTTACTCTGACTCCGCATACACAGTTTAATTGTAAGCTTCCTGTACTGCCATTCATTACATGATCAATTTGGTTCCTATATCGCTTCCAGTTAGGAGATTCACATGTAAACGTGTGTATGTCAAGTTGCTTAAAAAGACTTCCGCAGTTATTTAGAGCGCAATTTCAGATAGTCTGATGCCGTTTTCATTTATTTTATAGTCCCAGTGTTATGACTCTTTTCCATCCTTTATTTGACTTTCCAACTTTTGCATTTGCATCTCCCATTACCATAAGAACATGTATATCATGCTTTGCCACAATCTGTCTCTGTAGCTGTTCGTAGGAGGTGTCCTAAACGATGAACAATGGGAAATGGACTATGTAACGTTTCAACAGAACTTTGATAAACATGTTAGGATCTTCAGAGTGATCAAGGAAAGCAGACTGGAAATCTTACAAAGCTCCTATTGTACACGCTTATAATTGCATGAAACAGGAAACTACAAAATTTTCGCCCGTTCATCTAATGTTTGGAAGAGAACCAAATCTGCCATTAGATATTGAATTCGGATTACATAAAGAAAATCATAGATCATCAAACCTTACAAAATACATCAACAACTTGAAGGAACGCTTAAGATAATCTTACCAAATGGCATCAGAAGCTGCAGGAAAATCACAACAAAGGCAAAAGATAACTATGATCTTAAATCCAGAGGAGCTGTACTAGAAGTCGGCAATAGAGTCCTGGTGAAGATACTTGCATTTGATGGTCGACACAAACTCGCAGACAAGTGGGAGGAAGAACCGTATTTGGTGATTAGTCAACCTAACCAAGGGATTCCTGTCTATAAAGTCCAGAGGGAAGATGGAGTTGGTAGACTAAGGATACTTCATAGAAACCTACTCTTGCCCATTAGACATGTTACTGAATTTCAATCAAAGATAGATTACAAAGAAGAGAAGCCAGTTCCAGCAATGCGGAAACCCACACCAAAGCCAAGGACTTGACAAAATAAGAGGGAAAATGGGGACACACAGTCCACTGTCGATACCCAGTCAGGTACAGATGATGAAGAAGCAGTCATTATAACAATACCAGATGGAACACAACGTCATCACAATGATGTCCATAACATTGTGTTACCTGAAGCTAAGACAAAAAGTGGTATTGTGGATGAAGATCTTCAAACAATTGGGGACGCCCATCAGATTGAAGAAGATGTATTGCAAGAGAGTACAGATAATGAAACTGCTATGGAACCTGCACCAAAAGCAGATGATCCAGAATCTGAAGCTGAACCAGCAACCATTATTGAACAGGAAGATAAAGTTGAACCTGGAGCTGAACAGAAAGATACTGGAGAAGTTGGATTAGCAGATGAACCTGCACCAGAATTAGATGACACAAGTTCACCTGTTGCTGCTCCACGCAGATCAACCAGGACTAGAAGAGAGCCATGCAGATTGGTTAAGGAGTGGAAATTATGTATGAGTACAACAGGCTATTGATCCGCATTGGAAAGTAACATTATTGCAGAACATCTTGCAGGATGAGCGTTGTCAGGGACTGGAACGAGGTGAGATTTTAAAAACTTTACTCGAAATTGTAAAGAAAACTTAAATGTGTAAATTTCAGTAGGATTTTAATTTTTAATATTATTTTAAATTTTACATTCTTCGTTGAGAATGATGAGGACGTCATTTTTCGGAGGAGGGGAAGAATGTAGTAGTGCAAGGTACATGGCATCCTACTAGCTTGGGCTAGTGGGTTAACCCTTTAGCTCAGTTGGTAGAGCACTGGACTGGCAAGCCAGAGGTTCCGGGTTCGATCCCCAGCAGAGGCAATAAATTGTTTCTGTTACAATTGGCGCCCACGTTGGGATCCGGGTGCATGTTCTCTGGCAGGTGAGAGTGATTGCCCCTAGAACTTCGCCCCACAGGTGTCGGCACTCCAAAAGAGATGAGGACATCTCATTCTATGGAGGGGGATAATGTAGTAGTGTAAGCTTTATAAAGCGGGAGAAAATGCGTGCGCTGATTATTTTGTCATTAACAAGATTCCATTCCAAGATTGCTTCTCTCAGTGCCCCGTATACCAATGTATACGAAACATGTGCCTGTGTACAAGAAGCCCGCTTCCGTCACTTATTTTAAAGTAATTTTGTAACTAATTTAGGTCCTTAGTTCTATCCTTTGATTTTTGTACCATTTCTACTGTCCTATAATTATGTTTCACACACTGGACTTGCATGTCATTTGTGTAACACTGGTACGACTGGTTTTTCTTCTTTCTTTACCTCTAAAATTATGTGAAAGGTCTTTTTTCTGCATGATAATGCTACATGTCGAATACTCGGAATACTCGCAATAATATTGAACAAGCCCAGAATATATTGTCGAAACACTTCAGGAACGAAGTAATTTTCATCCTGGTAACCACACGTGTGTGTGTCTTCAAAAAACACTAAAAACCAGTGTAAAGCAAAATTTAAACTTTGAAAACAAGAGCTTGAAGAGGTATTATTTAACACTGAACAACTTTACAACGAGTTGGGACATATTCATGTAAGCTTCTTGACTAAAGACATCAATTATCAATCGTGTGGTGAAATCGAAAGTAGGCTGTAGAAAATTCTAGAGAGGAATATGGATACCGTGGAGGTGGTAAGTTTATCCGTATAAATGTACATCTTTGATTGTGCAAAATGCTTTGTGAATATGTCATAGAAAAAATATTTTTATTTTAAAAAGGTCAGACAATGCTTGGGGGGGGGGGGGGGTGTTGCTAAAACGCGGAACGGAAAACGGAACGGAAAGCGGAACGGAACGGAAAACGGAATATATTATTTTGGATTAAATCACTTAAAATACACAAATTTTATCATAAACGATATATCTTGTACATATTCAATCCCCCACTATTAAATACAAGTTGATTTTGTCATGCTCAGTCTCTTATTTACGAAAATCGCTAACATAGCATTCACCTAGAATCGAATTTGAAGGGGGGGGGGGACATAAACGAACTTGAAAAGTATTGATCAAGCAAAAACACAAAAAGAAGACAATTGTTTGATTCGGGAGGTGGAATAAGTTCCAACTCCAACATCTTTCAATACTATTTTACACACTAACTACTAACTTAATACATTAATTACATTCACAAAAAGGGTAAGGATGTCAACTTGAACGAACAATTCCGTAGTAAAAAGGTTATGACTGGGGGGGGGGGGCAAATATTTGATATTTAGATGAACCATGGAAAGAGAAATAAAATGTGAAAAGAAAAAAAATTGTAAGATTACGTATGGGGCAAACCCTTACGGCAAGCTCAAATAAACATCTCTTATACACACTGGTTGTTAAAGTTTTATTCAAAATAGAGTCTTTCTATATATTGAATTCTTGACAGACAAGTTGGAAAACTTTCATGTGGTAGATATAATGCAGAATCTTGCATTCAGTGAAGTTAAATGTTGTTTGTTTGTGGTACATATGCGTGTATGTTTAGGGGGGGGGGTATATGAATGACCTCGTAAAAAATGAGTTTGTTTTCCCCTCATCGGAAAGGTCTGAAAAGTTGCAATAGGTCTGCCCCCTTTTTGTGTCCAAAGTAAGGTTTAATAAATCAATTTTTAATGTGGCTGTGGGCCCCTACACAGACCCGAAACTGCCACTCCCCCTTTCATGATTCGCGAATTCGACACTGCGTGTATAGTCTGAATATCATAACTACATGTAGTTATTTTTGTCTTTACAGACATTGACATTGGAAAAAACCGGTCACGGTAGCCTAGTGGTAGAGCGTTCGCTTCGTGATCGGGAGGCCCGGGTTCGATTCTCGTTCGCGGCGCCGCGTCATACCTAAGACGTAAATAAAGGTAGTGACTGTTCCTTTGCCAAGCGCTCGGCACTAGAAGTGAAAGTCACGGGTCTTTCGGATATGACCTTAAAAACGTAGGTCCTGTGTCACGGTAGGCGCTGGCACGATAAAGAACCCTCACTGCTCAATGACCCTGAGTGCCGAGTATACGTCTTAATTTGAAGCCATTCACCGGCATACGGTGACGTCTCCATATGAGTGAAAATTTCTCGAGAGGGACGTTAAACAATATACAATACATTGGAAAAAAATTAAAAGGGGGGGGGGGGCAGTAAATAATTTCCAACATACAAAAAATTTGACAAGCAAAAAAAAGGGCATATATCCTTTGCCCAAACACGAAAATCCTATTTCGTGTGTGTGTGTGTGTGTGTGTGTGGGGGGGGGGGGGGGGGGGGTGGGTCGAATTTCCTTCGGTACCATCTTTTCCACGGAGGGTATGCATGACTCAAGAATATATAATAGTTTACAATAAATTTTTATTAGAAATGACTTTTACAACAAGAAATTTGCTTTTTTTATCTGATTTATATCGAATCTATTTTATTTGTTTGACTAAAACTTTCCGTTTTCCGTTCCGTTCCGCTTTCCGTTCCGTTTTCCGTTCCGCGTTTTAGCAACACCCCTGCTTGGGGGTACGGAACACCGGGGATAGGGTGGGGGTGTCGCGTCCCCAAGCACCTGTGGTGTAAATAAGAGAAAACCCATGGGTTCTGATGATGTAAACAACACAACAATTATGATATCTATAAAGATTTTTCATGCAGCTTCGTCTGGATGTAGAAGAAATGAGAGACTTACTCATGAAAGCTACTCGATCTCGTGTGAAGGACATAATCGGAACAGAGATGAGTAAGTTAGAACTCGAGATCAGACGTTTGGAAAGATCGGTCTCAGAGCCTGTTCCGTCCACAGAAGAACCACCCAAGAAACCAAGGCCGCAAATACAAACAAAGGTCATAAGTACATATGGTAGGTACAGATGGCGAGTCCATATCTAATGATAATTTGATGAAACAGCGGCTAGTTTGGGATCATTTATACCATTATAAATATTGATACAGACTCAAGATAAGGAAATCTATTTTGCTGAGGTTTTTTGTGCTTCAGTTTTTTTTAATGTTAAAATGACAATGAGTCATTAAAAAGACTGCTCTGATAATATGTATAAAGATCAATTTAATTTTTATCATTAGTACATGTAATTTGAAATACGTACACTGGAGTAAATTCTCGTGATATAGTCATTGGATTGTAGAGTGAATTTCATTAGGAATATAATGAAATATTTTTCAGCATGGGATCAATCTGATAAATTCATGAAGATTTATGTAACGGTCAAAGATGTACACACCCTTCCTAAAGAAAGAATTACCTGTGAATTTGGTAAGAGGTATGAACAATGAACTTGTTATTAACATTTTTTTATATAGTATAACAAAGCAGAATAAATTGTACTTATTGTGAACTCAAATTAGAATTCCTGAATGAATAAAAGGCAAATGTCCTTGTAATGTTTGAATTAGAAAACCATTCCAGAGTCAAATGTTAAGGTGAAAATGGGAATGAAGGGAGGGGGGCTGTGAATCAAAAATATTTTCACAGAAGGTATTTTTTTTTTGTATTAAATTGAATCATTTTCTGAAAACAAGTAAATTTGTTAATTTAAAAAAAAACCCAGATATTAGTAGATATTTGCAAAACAACACATATCTGTGGTAGAGTTACCTCTCTTTGCTTTTATTATTTCTTTCTTCAAAGATCATTCCGATTACAAGTTGAGGAAGAGGAGAACAAACGTCGATCAGAACTCTACATTTCTACGCTGCTGGAGGACATTGTTCCCGAGGATAGCTGGTTCAAGGTGAGGCTGACACAGCATGGTGTGGTTCATCTTCCCAAGTCAAGAGTTTCTGATCCACTCCGCTCCACATAAACCCTTGACCGAATAGGCTAAGTTTGACAGAGTTTAAAATATGTTTTCCGATTGGCGTCATGCAAGTTTGCATGAACCAATCAAAATCATTGTTTTATTTAAACTGAAACTAAATCGTAAAGAGAAAAACATGCCAGTTTTAGTCCCAAGGATAACGTCTCTAACATTAAATAGCCCAGTTAAAGGTTTTTTCAGCTATTTAGTTGAGATGTATTGAATTTATTAACGATTACCAATATTATCTCGAATTCTCTGTTGAATTCGTTTACTCTGATTGGCTAATAGCAGAGGTCAGTAGAGTTCAAAATGTATACTCTCACTAGATGGCATAACAGTAAACCCTGTCAAACTTAGCCTATTCGGTCAAGGGTTTATGTGGAGTGGAGCGGATCAGAAACTTTTGATTTGGGAAGATGGGTGTGGTTCTCTATAGTATTCTTTACAAGAAATAAAATTTCAGGGTTATCATTACAGGCAGTATAAAACCACATTCATGTACAGAGTATAAATACACAATGTAGAGTTAAGTTACATATTACCACTCAAAAACACATATAGAGTCTAATCACACAATGCAGAGTGAAGAGCTCTATGTTGCCACAGACATGTTGATAACATTTGGAGTGTGAAGACACGGAGTAAAGAGGTCCATTGCCTGTCTCAACCTCAAGTCTGTCTACATAGCCAAGGGGAGTGACAATTAAATTGTCTTGTAGTATCAGGATATCAGAGTATTGAAGCATTAGAAGTTGTACACTTACCAGAATAGGTTTCCTTCCTGCATTATCAGAGATTACATATAATTATATCAGTGACTTATAGTTAGGAAAGTGATTAAACATGTTTAATATTATCATATATTATACTTTCTTGTAAATTAGTTGAATCTGATTGGTCGAGAAACATTTGTTAAAAAACACTATTACCCGCTGAATAATGAAGCCACGCCCTCCAGCGTAGCAACAGTCAACAGTGCTTGATGACGGGTGATATTCCAAACAATAGCAACTGTGCAGAATTTATGTGCACACGGTTCATTGTTATATGTATAAATCATCCAGTATAATATAATAAATATTGCATGTAGTTGAGTGTAACATTGAAAATTTTCACCCCTCGAAAACCATTGTCAACCTCCGCTGTGCCTCGGTTGACAATGGTTTTCTTGGGGTGAAAATTTTCAATGTTACACTCAACTACATGCAATATTTATATAATATTTCCACACATGGTTTTTTAGCTCACCTCAACGAAGTTGGGGGGAGCTAATGTAATATCCTTGGTGTCAGTGTTGGCATCCCGGGTTAAGGTTAAGTTTTTTGGAGCAGTTTTCTTTTTAAGAACATATGTACTTCTGTGTCCTATATTGATTAGACATGCATGGAAGATGTTGCTAGTGTGTTTCATTGTACCAGTCAAAGTTTCAGATGCTGCAATTTCAGCAAAGGAATGACCAGGTTAATGTTTTTGGAGCACATTAACATTTTTGGTGCAGTTTTTGGTGTCGGTCTCATTTCCGAGTAACTACAAGCCCTATGTTGACCAAACTTGCATGGATGATACATCTAAGGATGCACACTACCAGGCTTGCTTTGGATGCTGAATCTGACCTACATTTTCCGGATGAGTGAACAGGTTAAAGTTTTTGGTGCAGGTTTCATTTCCAAGTTACTATGAGCCCTATAATGATCAAACTTGCATGGATGGTACATCTTAGGATGCATACTACCAGACTTGCTTCGGATGCTGAATCTGACGTACATTTTCCGGTTAAGTGAACAGGATAAAGTTTTTGGTGCAGGTTTCATTTCCAAGGTACTATGAGCCCTATAATGACTAAACTTGCATGGATGGTACATCTTAGGATGCATACGTCCAGACTTGCTTCAGATGCTGAATCTGACCTACATTTTTTGGATGAGTGAACAGGTTAAATTTTTTGGTGCAGGATTCATTTCCAAGTAACTTTAAGCCCTATAATGAGCAAACTTTCATGAATGGTACATATAAGGGTGCATTCTACCAGGCTGGCTTCAGATGCTGAATCTGACCTACATTTTCTGGATTAGCGAAAAGGTTAGTTTTTTTATATAGGTTTCATTTCCAACTAACTTTGAGCTCTATGTTGAGCAAACTTGCACGGATGATACATCTTAGGATGCACACTAGTGAACTTGCTTCAGATGCTGAATTTGACATACATTTTCCAGATAATGGACCTCATTAAAGTTATGGGTGCAGGTCTATTACCAAGATACTATAAGTCTTATATAAACCAAACTTGCACAAATGATGCATCAAGGGATGAAAACTCTCAAACTTGCTTCAGATGCTGGATTTTAATTACGTTTTTATGATGAAGAACTATTTTGAAGTTTTTATAAAGGTATTCCAAAGTATCAAATCAAAATTGCATAAATTTTGCATTTTTGGATATACACTTTTTGTTGGGTAATTGTGTGACTTTGCCTTACTTAAAGACAACATTCGTTGAGGTGAGCTCTGTAATCTCTGATTACCTATGGTTTTAATTACTTTTCCTTCGTAAAAATGAAATAAAATGTAATGTACTGGTCAAATGAAGGTGAAAACAGATACAGTTCTTCTGATGCTGAAAAAAAGTAAAACAGGAAAGACATGGGCCTATGTCACCTCAGGAGAAAAAGACTCAAAGAAAGCAAAGGAGGAAAAGGAGAAGAAGTGAGTTCATCTTTAAATAAAATTTCACAAAGTGAATTATTAGTACTTTTTAAAGACAGAGGTGATTTATTTTTAAACCTAAATATTAATGTTCTCAAATTTTAAGAAAGATTTCTTTTTAATTACAAGTATCCAGTGCAAGAATTATATACCGGTATATTATTGTGCTTTTTAAAAACAATAATAATATCAAAATGTTTATTATTGCATTAATTGTAAAAGAAAGACAACCCAAAGAAACATAATGTTTTGTACCACAGTTTTTCCCTGTATGCTATGATGGTTTATTCTCTTGGGTCTTGCAGGTCCAAATCAGATGATGATAAGGATCCAAACGAGAGCATGATGGATATGCTGAAGAAGATGTATGATGAGGGTGACGACGACATGAGGAGGACCATCGCTCAGGCCTGGACTCAGTCCCGCGACAAGCAGGGGGCCTCCTAGTTGTCTCCCCTGTCCTATACACCACTGATTTATAGTGATTTATAATGCCGTGAATCAAACAAGCTGAGTTGCAATATGTTATGATGATCAATTTATATCATTACAATGCCATTTTTGTAAATAAATTCATTTTTTTTATATGATATGGATTTTAAGTTTTACAACAAGGAAATAATGTGATATTGACAGTTATTGGCTAATTAAGTTTCACTTTGCAGTTTTCTGAACTTTTTCGGAGATAAAAAAAGAATTTATAATAAATATACCAAAGTTATTTATGCTTCAAGAGTTAACCAATTAAAATTATAGAGTGTTTAAGATACACAGGAAATAAAACTTGACGGATAATGAAGGTACCATGATTTATTCCATGTACAAATAGGAGCAGCATTTCTCTGTAAAAATACTAGAATGAGGAAGGATGCTGTGACTTACTGATTAGTACGATTTATACATAATTAACAAGTCTCACCAGAGAGACCAAAGTAAAATAGCTTGTAAAATTTGTTAATGAAGTATAAAAACTAACCTGGAATGAATATAGGCATTAAAATTGGTCAGCTATAAAGTGTTGTGATGTAAACAGTGAAATTCTTATAATTTCTGACATAATTTATCGGCAATGATTGTTATACATAAATAAGCTTTAGTTTTTAGGTCACCTGAGTAAACTCAGGTGACCTATTGCTATCTGTTTTCGTCGTTCGTCGTGCGTTAACATTTAAACATTTTCAGCTTCTTCTCTGAAACTGCTGAACCAATTTCAACAAATTTTAGCATATAGCATCTGTGGGTGAAGGGGAACAAAAATTATGAATTTCATGGTCCCTGCCCCCCTGGGGCCTGGGGGTGGGGCCAAAACCACTAAAATTAGTGCAATCTTTAAAAATCTTTCTCTTTACTCCTGGATATCAAGCAGTCAAACTGTTGGTATTATTGTAATCAACATTAAGCTCTCTACGGAAATTATGAAATTCATGGCCCCAGGGTCAGGGGTTCTGGTGTTAAGGCAGGGCTTTATTGATTATATAGTGAAAATGCATTAATTCTTTGAAAATCTTCTTCTCTGCTTCTGGGTATTAAATTAACTAATTAAGTACATAGTTATGATGAGCAATAGTGCCTCTACCAAAATTGTGAATTTTATTGCCCCAGGGTCAGGGGTTCTAATGTTAAGGCAGGCCCTATTGATTATATAGTGAAAATGCATTATTTCTTTGAAAACTTTCTTCTCTGCTCCTGAGTATTAAATAGACTAATTAAGTACATAGTTAGGATGGGCAAGAGTGCCCCTACCAAAATTATGAATTTTATGGCCCCTGGCTCAGGGGTTCTGGTGTTTAGGGGGAGCTCTATTGATTATATAGTGAAAATACATTAAATCTTTGAAAATTTTCTTCTCTGCTCCTGGGTATTAAATAAACTATAAGTACATAGTTATGATGAGCAAGAGTGCCTCTTCCAAGACTGTGAATTTTATGGCCCCTGGGACAGGGGTTCTGGTGTTAGGGCACAGCTCTATAATGATTATATAGTGAAAATACATTACATCTATGAAAATCTTTTTTCTCTGCTCCTGTGTAATAAGCAGACAAACTACCTATATGGTTATGATGTGCAAGGGTTTTTCTTCCAGAATTTTAAATTTCAAGGCCCCTGGTTCAGGGATACCAAAGAGGAGGGTGGGGGTGGGGTGGGGCTCTACTTATATTCTGAAAATAAATTGTTTGAAATCTGCTCCTTGGTATAAATCAAACATTTTTGATAAGCAAGAATGCCTTTTCAAAAATTGTGCAATGCGTAGACCTAGGGTCAGGGATTCATGTGTGGTTGGAGAACTTCTAATAATATAACTGATTAGCTGAAATGCATTTTTTGTTCCCCTACCCTGCCTATGGGTAGTAAGTAAACAAACTAAGCAATTGCCTAGTGTATAGTTATGATTAGCAATGGTGCCTCTTTCTAAATTGTGAATGCCATAGCATCTAGCTTGAAACATGAACCAAAGTCAATCATTAAAGTTGTTGCATGATGCTCAGGTGACCTATAAGGCACATGGGCCTCTTGTATAGTTAAAAGAACTTGTTAAATATATTATTTATTTTTGTAAAAGTATTCACTCTTGCATTAAAGTCTTGCCTTACTTCAGGAGTTGCAGTCATGCATTTGGAGCTGTCATAAGTCTAAACAAGATGTGTTTGTGAAACTCCGTGCGCCCAGTGTCAACGAAGTTCCAAAAACCTACTTTTAGCATTTAGGTTACAGTCAATGTCAAAAGGTCATTGACCCTGGTGTCATTTGAAAGAGCTTAATTAGTGGAGTATGCATACCAAATATGAAGTCTCTATCTCTCACAGTTCAAAAGTTATGGCGGAGGTTAAAGATGACAACAGACAGACAGAGAGACAAACAGACAGACAGGACAAAAACGATATACGCCCCGTTCTATCGATTCGGACGCATAACTTGAGACGAACTTATCTTAGTTTTAAGTAAGGCCACCTATGCTGAGATGTAGGAGATTTTAGAAGAACTGAGGATAGCAGATCCATTTTAAATTGGAAATTAACTATGTTTAATAATTTAATTTGTGAAATAATTTCTTTCAAGATAATGAAACCCTTTTAAAAATTAACACTTAAAATAACAAAATACTGGTTATTAATTGTTATTTTCAGAGGTGGGTACATAGATGAAATAACAAAAGATTGGTTTCAAACCCCCCATCCCTACCATTTTAAATTGGAAATTAAATGTTTTTAGGGTCAGTAGACTATGTTTAATAATTTAATTTGTGAAATAATTTTTTTAAATTTTTGATGAAATGCTTTGAAACAAGATATATGAAACCCTTTTAAAAATTAACACTTAAAATAACAAAATACTGGTTATTAATTGTTATTTTCAAAATTTGAATGCTATAACTCCTTTGATTTTCAACCAAACAGGATGGGTACATAGATGAAATAACAAAAGATTGCATGCATACACGTGCAAATCTGATTGGCTGAAACCCCCAACCAAATGGTGTGGGATTTAGAACCCTATGGTCCCCCCTTTCCCTCGTACTGAAATCTGGCACTTCCTTTATTGAGTTTGTAACAACAGAAACAAATTTAGTAAAACAAAATTATAATTGGATAGTTTTATTTTAATTTTATGGAAAGTAAAAAATGAAGCATTTTATATATCGCATCAGCATGTCAAGTGTATTGGTAGTAGCCACTTCTAATGTCGAGAATTTTTTACTTGCCGATGGAGAGCTGCTCAATTTAGACCTCGACTCGGCACTTGGGGGCCACTGTGGAGTGAGGGATCTTTTTTCTCCCAGCACCTATTGCGACACGTACGGAACTTAAACGAAGATCTTGTCTCCACATCCCGCAGTGGGATTCGAACCCCTGACGTGAGAAGCAGCCCCTTACTCCGCGACTCTAGTTCTAGGAAACCAGTTTACCTGCTCTGCTTTTGCAGTTGTTTTGAAGCAGAGCTGTAAATGAAAAACGTGTAAACCAAGAGGTTTGCTCTGCATGTCTGCAAGCAGACAAATTGTTTGGACCTGTTCCATTTCATTCTGCAGACGTTACTGACCATTCTGATATGAAACTACATGGCTACAAAGTGAGAGCAGGCAAGATTAGCAGATGGTGTAATCTCTCTGTCTGCTCTGCAGTGTAAAATGCAGACCAAAAAAATCAGCTGCATAAGCAGAGCGTGTGAACCAGGCTTTATACTAGCCCTTCGCGGGCAATGTAGATAATTACCGGTATATGGGTTAGAAATATAAGAGTACCTGTACCTAAGTTGTATCAAGATAAATTAAGATACATGTATGTCTTAAGAAATGTTTCAAGACATTTCTTAAGATTTATCTTAAGGATCTTTTTTCAATAAGAATGCCAGCTATTTTGACAGATGACACAATGTTTTATTATCTAATTAAATCTGTGATTCATGAATTAACAATATCAGATATTATCGAATTTTAGCTGAATTTCACGCATGGAAGTAGCGAAAATGTTTTACACGTTCTTTGAAAAAGAAGACACGGTCTAAGCACCTTGTGGGGCAAAGAAAATCAAATATTTATCACGGCATCGGTACGAATTTCTGAAGCAAGCAATTTCAGTGGAGCAATGCATAGGTAGAAATATTGCTTTCTATTTTCAATCCGTGGTGGTACTATATTCACGGTGCATGCCATATATATACATGCACCGTTAATCTCCTGATATGCCGCGGCTTAGTCCCAAGAAAAAATAATTTTGTCGTAAGGCTGAAAAGAATATAATTTTTATGATAATGGAATGTAAGTGATACCGTGACGCATGACACAGATTTCTACAAAATAGGCCTCAGACAATTCTCTAATTTATATATACGAACTGCTAATTAGTTTTAGATCCGTAATTTCAGGTCATCAATTACACAATGTCAAAGTCAAAAAAAGATCAAGTGTCAGTAAGCTTTGTATTTCAAACACATTTGAAAATAAACCCTATCCTTGACTACATAGGGAGATCACGCCATTTTCATATAAGTGGCCAGTTCTTTTACCTTTAAAATTTCAAATAGTAAGATCAAATTTCAACTTTTGGGGGATCTGAACAGATCTTGAATCAACTGCAGAACTAATTTTTCCATCAACGGTTCAGATATGTACATAAGGAAGTATAGAAGAGAGTTAGAAAACATGCATTTGTAATATGAAATGACTCAGTAAGTGCTTATAGACAAGATCAGGGAGGCCCCACAAAAGTTATCTATAGTGATCCACTTAAAAAATGGGTTAGTGTCGCTTAAATTTACACAGACATTGTCGTCTGCAAGTTTATTTGAGATGGTTTTTCTTCAAGGCGAGATAGGGTAACGTTTTAAGAATTTTTTTAAATTTAAAAATCCCTTGCTTATAGCTAGCAATGCATGAGCAATAATGATCCTTTTGTCAGATCCCGTAATAGACTTTTTAGGACTAATCCAATAAACCTATTTAACTCTGATTTTATTTTTATATATGCAGTGTTTCCTGGAAGGCTATTTAAAAAGAGACTTTGAAATAGAATACGATTTTTTTTTCTGATTACAAATCTTGTGAATAGTAAGTTTACGTGAACTATACACGTTAAAAAATTCATAAGGGTGACTTTTTAAATTGTACCTGGCGTTAATGACATTTGCTATTGATACACCTGATCGATGAGGATTTCTTGGTCGTAATGTTGTGCATCGCAACTTCCCTCGCTCGCCTCCAATTTCCGAGTCGTCACGTTACACAGTGGTTAAACCACTTGGGGCCCCAGTGGAGTTGTTTACAGTCCCCACGTGGAAGTTATTTATGTCGGAACAGTTGGCTATGCACCATGTCGGGAAAGTCTGCCCAATATAAAGTGGTGGTGAAAACTGGCGACAAAAAACGGGCTGGCACGGACGCTAACGTCAAAATCATTCTACATGATTCAAAGGGACAACAAACTAAACCCGCCAAGTTAGACAATTTTTTGCGTGACGATTTTGAACGTGGTCAGAGGGACAAATTTACTGTTAAAGATGCTGTGGATTTGAACGAGATACATCAGATCGAACTTTGGCGCGATGGTGCGGGTCTCTATAGTGATTGGTTCTGTGATTACGTCGAAGTGACCAATTCTCGCACGAATCAGGAATTCGTCTTCCCAATTTATCGTTGGATCCGCCCAGAGTACCATTATCTTATTGAGCACCTGGACACATTCCTTCCTCAAAATGACCCTCATAAAAAACAACGGAACATGGATCTGGAGGACATCAGGGAAAAATACCAATATACTCAAAGAGCCCCCGGGTTTCCTTGTCAGGTTTGTCACAGAACATTTTTTTTCTGTCCAGATTTTATATATTCGTATGTAGAACGAAAGTGTTGAATAAATATTTATGTTAATTGTGCTATAAAAGTGGAAATTAACTGATAAGGTTTACACATGATTGCTTAAGGCAAACATCAACAATGATAAAATGCCAAATTAAGAGGACAGGTAAAATCTCCACTTTTAATAAAACAGCACTCTATTTTATTTTCCCTTTTCGGAAAAAATTCAATTTACCCCTTTGTTCAGATGATGGAAGTTTAAATTTATGAAAATTTTACGAATGTTTTTACAGTGAGGTTCTTGTTGGATTTCCTTTTTTGTGGGAAGCTATTTCCTGCGGCCTAACGTTATTTCGTGTTTGTGATTCAGGGGGATTTAAGAATTACACATAGCAAACGTGTGTCAATGTATACACTATAAAATAACTTCGCCAGTTGCCGAATTCAATACCTGATGGCAAATATTCTATGATTCACAAAATATATATTTTTTTTAAATGTAATATTTAAAGAATTCAAAGACAAGGAGTTTGGTTAATCTGAGATCTATTTAACCAAGGTTTAATAAGGGGGCGGAAGGTCAATTCAAATATTTGATGTTCCGAGAGCGTAAATTAGAACTCATTTCCTGTGAATTTCTTTATGAAGTTTTTTCCAGTGATCGTTTGATCCCCGATAGAAGAATTAGGACCCTCCGCCTCTGAGCCAGTGTGCTTTGGTTTAAACATTTTAAAGTTATTTATAAACAACATTAAATAGTTCTACAAAGAAATGGGTCATTATTATATACTTTTGACATGATGTATCGTTTATTATAACCCCCCCCCCCCCCGCTTGAAAAGCTGGAGGGTATATAGTAATCGGGATGTCCGTTCGTCCGTCCGTTTGTTGCTTTGGGGTACCCATATCTTATCTGCAACTTCTCTCATACCACTCGAATGAAATTTGATGAGACTTTCACAGAATCTTTATAACTTATTGCCATTGTGCACTTTCTATTTTGTACTTTTTGATCCGACACATATTTTGGGTTTCCCATAGCAAAACATGGACACTGCCATTATATTCATATGGAAGGCTAGTCCGAAAAATCTGACGTTTTCCTGGCTTTTTTACGATTTTGATATTTTACATGCACGTAAAATATCAAAATCGTAAAAAAGCCTGGAAAACGTCCGATTTTTCAGACTAATGGAAGGCGGGGGCATCATTTAGTGAGCTCACTGCTCACAGAACCTCTATAGTTTTACCATTTGAGCGCATAGGGTTAAATTCGTAGAAATCAAGAACATATTCACCTACCCGGATATTTAAAGATATACAAGATATATGAGCCAGACTTTTTTTTTGGTTACAAAGATATATGATATTGCATATGGTTCCTGGTTATCAGAGAGGTTTCAGATTTTTTATGGATCTGCATTATGCGACTCTGGACATATACGTGAAAATGCCGTGATCTGGCACATTTCTCAATCTTGAATGTGATAATAGGATTTTATTATATATCCGTTCATCCATCTTTTATTTCCTGTATTATACAGATTTTTAACATGATATAAATAGATTATAACTCAAACATAATATTATAAGAAGAGAAAAAGAATGCATACGTAGTATGAAAAAGAAAACAACCCAAAAAGAGAACAAAAATAAATATACAAAACTGCAAAATGCAGAGAATAATGCACATAACATATACACTAGTTTATGGTAACGGATAGCTAGGCAATGTTCCTGTTCCTTAAGTTGAAAATGCACACGCGCTGGAATAATTTAGATAGATGTAATAGATCTATGACTATCAGTATACCTATATCAAATAATAAAAAAATATCTTCTAACGTAAATTTGACATTGGTCTAAATCTAGATTCGTATAGAAAAAAATACTTTGCAAAAGATAGTATTTAAAGTAGTGACTAGTGATAAAGAAAAGTTCAACTTGAGGATAGTATACGTATTTACCGGTATATAGAAACTTTTACTTGCTTTTCTTTATCACTAGTAAGACGGTATATATCTACACTACAGACAAAGTTTCCAAAATAGAGTAAATTGAATTATACCTGTTACAAATGAAACAAGAAAACATTGATGTAACCATCAATTGTCGCCCGGGAAATATATAAAGTAAACAATGAAAATGAGTCTTGCTCATCAAACCGCTTCGATGAGACCGTATAAACCGAGGCCCCGTGTCACAGCAGGTGTGGCACGATAAAGATCCCTCCCTGCTCAAAGGCCGTAAGTGCCGAGCAAAGGCCTAAATTTGCAGCCCTTCACCGGCAAAGGTGACGTCTCCATATCAGTGAAATATTCTGGAGAGGGACGTTAAACAGTATACAATAAATCAATCAATCAAACCGCTTCGATATGTGTGAAAAGGCATGCGTATTATTGATGGAGACGATAGTCGTGAATATTTTGAAAACTTGTAGTCGGATAAAAATCAATCAAAAACGATACAATTTTAAACTTGATCAATTCCTCAAGTAAAGTTTGGCTGCATAAAATATAAATTGAAGTTAGACACACGCATCACCTATTTAAAAATGTATTAATTTTCAATTTTAGAATATAAAACATGAACTGTGCAGAGTACATTTTTATCCGAGAATTGAAATTTGATGTTCTAAAAAAAGGGACCTGTCTTTTTTCGATAGTAAATGATAATCAACTTTGTATATTAAATGTGAAAAACATATACATTTTTACAGATTCACTTCATGGAAGTAAATATATTATGTATCTCGTAATTTATAAACGGAAAGAACATCCTGATTAACAATCTTTTGAATCTTTAGAAAACCTTTAATTCTAAATAACTACTCCCACCCCAATCCCCATACACCAACACTTGAACTTATATGTATAGAGCAGCCCGGTCCTCCGGGCTGCAATTAGAAAGCTTAGCTCTCTAAAAAGAGCACTTAGCAACGAATAAACATGCATAAGGGATGTTACTCAGTCTTGGTTCTTCAAGTGATGAGAACGTCTTCAATCGATTATGCTATACAGTTCGACTCCTCCAATTCCTGCATTGATACATTTCCACTTTTATAAATATTTCAGGGCGTACGCACTGCAGAGCAATGAAAAAAAGATAAAGCAGAAAACAATGGAACTTCGTTTAGAAGCTACAATTGGGTGTTTGTTAATTTTATCGATACTGTAAATAACGTATTTCTTTCTGAAATTTTTAAATCTTGAGTTGATTGGGTTAATAGTAAATATGAATATTGAAAATTAATACAACGATGGTGTGTATTGGATTAAAGAAACCACTTTTTAATTCTGTTAAAACAATAATTTAGCTGAAATGAAAAAAATAAAATAGATATAAACTAATAACCAATATTCAATTGAGTAGTAATTAATTAATAAACTGGAATTGCGGGACCTTGAACCATCTATCCTAGACGCAAAACAGTACTACACCGCTAGACTTCGCACCAAAAAGAAAGTCTGTCCGCTGTAAAATACTATCTTTTTTTTTTTTACTAGAAGGCCAAGTTTAACGAAATGAAAAGATTGACGATAAAGAGGGTGTTAGGTCTTTAAAAATTGTTAAACACAATGTACATTGTCATAAATACTACTTTTGGGTGGATTTTTCCTAGAGAGAAAATCTGCACTCCTGGATTAATCCATTTTTATGCCCTTCCTTCTCCAAAAAAGAGAGGGAATAGCGTTATACAGAACTGTAGCGTTATATATATTATTCTTTGACCATAACGACAAATATATAAAATCATAACGCTACATTTCTGCAGCTAGGAGGGAATATAATCAATATTGCTTTTCATCTCGCCTCTGTCTGTCGGTCGGTCTGTTTGTATGTCCACCAATTTAACAGTTTCCGTTCATTTCCTTCGCAGAGAAAGAATTAGAAGAGTCAAACTCTAGCTTAATTATATAATTTATATAATTTATGCACGTATTTGGAAATGTAATATTGTATTTTTATAAAAGGTATTAAATAAGGCTAAAAAATTTTCTCTGACACCGGGCATCTTCGAACGATTTGGGAAATCTTTAACTGCATTTTAAGCTCTTTAAGTATATGTATATGATTTTTAATCGTGCTTCAGTTAAGATCTGAAACTTTTCTAATTTTCCTACAATCAGCGATCCCGTTTGTCGTTTCCGTTTGATGGAGGGAACTAAATGATGGTTAATTTCCTTCTGCATCCATATTATAAAAAAAGAAGACACAACGACGGCTGGCTACGATGGAGCATAGCCTACCAAACGAACAGAATGACCTCCAGTATCAGCGGAGATGGATACCGTCTGTTTGCAGGCCCCCTCTGTATCTAAATTGCGCAGGGCACCTGCCTAACTATTTAACAAATTTTACAGATTAGCTTGTGTGTATTTTTTTTATTTCAATTGGCATAAGAATATACAACACTGTTGGATCCTGAGCCAAGATTCCAAAGATATACACGCAACTGCTGGATCAGAAGGTAATGAGGATTTTATAGAGAGGAGCACTTCTGAAAATTTATGAAATGGATTATGCTATTACAGTTAAAACAGGCGATCGTTTCTTATCCGGTACCGATTCCACAGTATATATTGTCCTCCATGGGAACAACGAGCGGGCAACGAAACCTGCCAATTTAGACAACATTTTCCGAAATGATTTTGAACAAGGAGCGACTGACGAGTTCTGCATCAGTAACGATGATATCGGCGATATTGAGTGGGTGGAGTTGTGGAAGGACGGATTTGGGGTGGCGGCGGACTGGTTTGTGGAGCGGATCACGGTTAACCAAGGAACAAAGACGTTTCATTTCCCGATTATGAAGTGGATCAAATCAGGTGTTCACTATCGGATTCAGCATTTAGACACATGTCTTCCCATGAATGACAGATTCCCCGACCAGCGAAATCAGTTTTTGGAGGAAAAAAGGAGCGTATACGAATTTTCCGTCAAGGGTCCGGGCCTCCCCGCCCAGGTAATATTAACATTGTCATACTAGCTTATGATTGAGAATGTATTTACGCATAAAAATACAAATTGCAATGATCTGAAAAACCATCATGCCGATGGATTAATTTTGAATTCAAATGTTTAATTTTGGAGGGCTTTTATAATCTTATTACATCTGGGCTTTGATCAACCTGTTGGGTGAAATTCTTGGAAGCACCATTGATAAATTTTATATGGCACGCAGCACGTATACAAACCGGTTACGTAATCTGAGGTATTAGAGCGCGGCATAAATATTCAAATCTTATATCCTCTTACTTACTACACGTACTTTTCAAAAGCCTCTCTCGTACATGTACATTGTAGTTCACCTTGCAATATTTTTTTTCAAAGCTAGACTTTAAAAAAATTCTTTTAATGTTTAAGCACTTAAATATTCAGAAAAAATTTACATTTTCCCATTTTCGATGTTGCAAATATACTCATACTGTAGATTTCTAATTAAACGCGAGGAATTAATTTCCGCGTAATTTCGCGATCGAGAAGCATCACTCGCGAAAAAATATTACTCGCTTTTATTTTTTTTAGTGCTGAAATCTATGTAAAATCTATTGAACAATCGTCAATTCGCGAATTATAATTCTCGCGATTTCACGTTTAAGAACTAGTTCGCGATAAAAAGTACTCGCGAAAAATAAGGAATCTACAGTATTACATGCACAAGAGATCAAAACTAGTCCTATTCTCAAGTGAGAACTTGAAAGTAAAACGATATATTCAGTTTTTCTTTATTTTTTCAAGCCCTGATTTAGAGGACCTTTATTCCAAGGGACAGTTTTTAAGAATTGTGAATATACATGTAGATAACATACATAACTTTTAATAATTATTGCGGTTTTTCATGCAATTTACCTTTACACTAAAATTAAAAAAAACATCCTTTGCAAAACAAAACCAAACAAACTTAAAAAAAACATATCGAACAACATAATAGTTAACATGTAAGGAGGCAAGGAGCGAGTTCTTTAATCAACACATTGTACTCGACAATCAGTTGTAAAACAGCAAGAGATTATCTATATTAGTTTAATAAATCAAAACTCGATAGCACCGGACTTAGTAACAGACGAACTTTTTCTGACTCGACCTCGACAATTCTTTGAAAATTTTGTTAGGTATTCCTTTGAACTATCTAATTATAAAAGGTATTCCAAACTCAGCTATATGTCTTTTCTGTGGGTGGTCAAAATCAATGGATTTTCCTCAATTTTTGTTCGAAAGAATTTATCATGAACTAGCTCTTTTATACATAATACTATGTTTATCACATAATTATATTTCACAAATATTTCACATTCTAAATCCGGTATTTTTGAAAAGATGTCCTTCCAGCATGAAATTATTTCACTCTAAACGATGCACGGTTCATTATAAAGACTCGACAAGACTTGACTTTTTCGGTTCATTGCAGATGGGGTACGTTGACACGTGACTTTTTTTTCCCAATTCAACTTCATTCATACGTACCCTGTTTAGACATTTTCGCTTGCAGTTGTACTTTACTACGTAAAAATATTTTCATATCCGCTAATTTTAATCTCGCATGACATTTAAATAATCCACGGTTCAGTGTAGTTTAAAACATTTAGCTATCTTAAGCCAGGTGGTTTACAAGTGTTTTACGGAGGGTAACGTTGTAATCTTCAGACATTCTGGGTGCATTATCTGTTGTGTGTGACATTGCAAGATCAATAACTTAGCCAAAGGTCGCAGGAAAGTACGGAAATTGAATCGACAAAACTTTCTTTACCTGCGCATCATTGCTGTTCGCAATCTAAGGAACCATTCCTTGGACTGGAATCGGAGTGTCTACAGTGAGTAGTGTTATGAACCAGTAAGGCCACGTGCGCTATGGGTAATTGTTGTGGCGCCCCCAAGGCCGACTATATGGTGTACGTCCGGACGGGGGATCTAAAAGGTGCAGGAACAAACGCTAACGTGAAGATACGTCTACACGACAGTGAAGGAAACGAAACCAATGATATCACCCTGGACAATTTTTTTCGTGATGATTTCGAAGCAGGTTCTTTGGATACATTCCACGTCCCTGAACTGAGAAACTTTGGCAATATTATATCTGAAATTGAGTTTTGGAGAGATGACTCTGGAATCGCAAGTGATTGGTATGTTAATAAAATTCTGGTGGAAAATCGGAAATCAAACGATATTTTTGTATTTCCGGTATACCGGTGGATAAAACCAAATTACCACTATAGAATAACTCACCTAGATACATCACTGCCTCAACAGGATCGACATGTGGAGCAACGTAAAATGGAATTAAATGAAAAGTGCAATTTATATCAACAAAGTGTTAAAGTCGAGGGGTGTCCATCCCAGGTAGGGCATTTTAACCAAAGAATCGCAAGAAAGAGATATAAGCACTATTACATGTAAGCACGTAAATTTAAGCCCTTGATAAATGGCGGAGCATTAAGAGTTGATGGCAGCCCCCCCCCCCCCCATCTTCGCTAGCCAAGGGTTTCTGATACGCTTCTCTCCTCATGAACCCTGAGGAGAGTAGCGTATCAGAAACCCTTGGCTAGCGAAGATGCCCCCCCCCCCCGGTTTTGCAGTTACTTTCTTGTCTATGTTCCTTTGGGGGGGGGGGGGGGGGGGGGTATTTCCAGTAGAACTAAATCACTGTTTATTGCTCCATCCGATATTCTGACTGTCTTTATATGACCTCAGAATGCTATTTAACTGTTGTATACAATTTGTGATACTGGTCATATCCTTATTGAGACCGCAAGATGGAGGTTTTTTTATAATTTGTAAAGAATACCCAATAAGTTCTATCGAGATTTTACCTCGACAGTTACAAAGTACACTACCTTAAAAAACCCCTCAAAATTCAACAAGTAAAATGTTGTCTCACCATGCTAACATACTGAACCAGAAATATCTGAATGGTAAAGATAATGCACTTGACGAAGTTTGGTGTCTGACAAGGAAATTTATTGAACATACACATGTATCTATTTAAAGCATCCTGTGAAGTGTCATAAAGAAAATATGTCTTAGTAGCATTAAGCAGAAATAATTTAGATTTGAATTATATATATAACACAAGCTTTGGGCGATGTGGTGTATATACGGTGTGTGTGGATGTTAAGACATAATAGAATTTTAATCTCAACGTCCACCTACGACTTCTGTTGGTAATATATCCAAACCAGTTATTATAAGGGCAACAGAAGAACTCAATACCTAGAAATATTAACCTGTGTTCTAGAAAGCGGAGAACATTTATAACAAAGAATTTGTGAAATTTCAAGCTGAAGGTCACCTCCGTGAAAGAGATTTCAATCTACTTAACACAAATTTCTTTTCTAAAAGTCACTCACATCAAAAACAAGGAGGCTTAAAAATAACTTGATTTTAATGAAACATGTCGGGATGGTGTGCTTTACCTTCAATAATGAATATATGGTAAATAGTAAAGGCTTAATTAAGCTGAAGGGATTGCCAAAGAATCACTTGATCCGCCACAGCATGCATCTGCAAACACAACATAAATTCTACTTTCATAAAAAGTACTGTATTTTCAACCGTTTAAATCGCCTTTACAGATGCTTCAAGCTAAAGATGGTTCTGGACTCAAAATTTGGCGTTTTTTTTTTTATTTGAAGTACAAGCAACAAAATTTAATTGAAAAAATGCTTTTATCTTATATTATTAGTATTATTTTTTAAACATAAAATACATAAAGAAAAAAATCACCACCTCTCATTTATCAATCAAAAAGTATTCATTCGTCTGTTATTTCCAAGATTTAAACAGATGAATGTAAATGCATCGATTACACTACATGTGTTATTTTGAGCACTTGTATACATGTACTTTTAAAAAGAGTCGGGATGAACACGGGACAAAATTTCTCATGTCAAACTGCTTCAAAGAAAATTAACAGAACAAAGAAATACGATACATCATATCATGTGCATGTTTATAATGAGCTCAGCTAACTGATTAAGATATTCCCATAAGAGATGTCTGTATACAGTTAATATGACACTAATTGTAGACACTAATTGTAGAATGGCAAAATTAACAGGAAGTTGAGAGTACCCTTTATTAAGGAATTATGAGCTGTAGAAGTTCCCATTGTGCTGATACACTAAACATTAATTGGGAAGTTTATAAATACTAGTAGTCTTAAACATTCAACAAAGTTAAAAAACAAAAGTTTGCTGTCCTTGAAAACTCTATAGCGTCTACTAGCTCAGGTTAAAAACTGCTGCATTCAAAATCGCAGCAGATAGCCTGGCGGCAAGACTAGGGAGAGCACTTCTGTGGAATTATCAATGTTCTTGGGGGGGGGGGGGGGGGCTTTCTTGGGTCACGTCCCCAGAACAATTATTTTGTCAACATGTTTATTCATTGAATTTTCTATATATTAACGAGTTACCCATGAAATTACGTCGCAAGGAACCAACAAAATTTTGCCTTCCCACGAAAATTGACTACTAATAATTAAAGTGATTCTATATCATTTGAATTGACGAAGCTAGTCTTAGTACTGTTCTCGACATTGTAACTGTACATGTTAACATGTAGCTCTACGGTAGCCACTGTGCTCTTGAATGCATCCATATTTTTTTCTTTCACATTGAGTTGAAATTTGAACTGAAATATTACCGATCATGCACGTTTGTAATTCTTTGCATAATTTCTGCTATGAAACGGAAAATGAATTTTAACTCAGTGTTATTAGAATATGCAAAAGCTCATTTTTTTGTCGGCCATTTTAATGTTCGACTAATTTGTTTTGAAGAATGTAAAAAAAAATTATATGAATAACAACTTAGGTTTTTCACCTTCTCTGTTCACGCATATAATTTTTTGCTTTAAGGTTGTCGATTTTCCAAATGAAATAATAATTGAAATGTACATAATTTCTGCATACCTTGAGGGGGAAAATTTCACAAAATGGCATTTTAAGTAGACACATTTACAAAGGAATAGCTCTTTTATCCCAGCAAGAGTTATCTTTCATATCAGAGGGTCAACGAACCTTAACATTTCGATTATTCCTAAGATATTTTATGCGACAACGTCAATCAGTGGCTTCCACAAAGACTTTTGGTAATACGCCTAAGTAGAGTTTTAACTTTTATTTTTTCGGTAAAAAAATTTTAGGCCGGTGATATAAAGCTGTATGTTTTATGAAATCGAAGATTATACATGCACGTACATTGTGTCAACCCTTTGCTTTTAATATGCCGGAAGATTGAACTAGGAAGTTGAGATTATGGTTGATCGTGAATCTTTGTTGTACATCCTTCCTTAGGAAGGATTTCTGGTACTTCTGACTTCTAACTATGAAAACAAGAAAACGCCTGTGTTGTGGTGGGGGAAAAGGGGGGGGGGGGTGAGGACGAGTTTAACATGTTAAGTAGAAAGCTTAATGCACTTTATATATGATTAATGCTAATTATTATTTTATAGAGATAAATCAATTGAGCACACAATGTATGACAAAATTCCACATTATAAGATTTGTATCACAAGTTAATCATTTGACAATAGCATCACTCATATATACAGCCTAATACGGACCAAACATCAAAGTGCTATATACATGTACACCATTTAAAGAGAAATTAATATCCCAGTGATTTGGACGAGGGTGTCGTAAAAGTCTCAAACTTTGATCATTAACGACTAAGTAAATTAAAGATTGACAGATAAATTGTAGTACAAATCTATGTTTCTAATACTGCCTCTCCATTTAAATTGAAATCTCCATTTCTTAAAAAAGGCTTCTATTGTAATTATTACTCTTTGCAATTGAAAAAAGGTATGCATTTTAATTTCAGGTGAAAGCTATCCCAGATGATGAACAGTTTTCATTTGACTACAAAGTATGTATAATACTTCCTTCTAGTTTCATTATATATTGAAAACAAATATATTTAGAAATAATTGGCATATAAGACTTCGGAGATCTCACTTCACACAAAATTAAATGTGATCGATTGTGTCTTCATGAGTGAATATTTTTTCTGATGATAAATCTTTTGAGAGGCTGCAACATTTGCCGATCTAATGTTCTTTTATCTCGCGAGATCTCCCGGAGAATTTTAGTGTGATCTATGTCCAGCAATATTCCGAAGGGGGTGATAATGTAGAAGATTTAATTCGCTGCACACCCTCAAAGGAAATAGAGTTCTTGTAAATAGATTTTAGATTAGTATTGATAAAAATTCCACCTCTTCAAAAAAGAATTATTATGGAAGGGAGTAATGGATCCGATCTTAAGGGGGGAAAAGTTAATCGGTGGAAGGTGGTGTATTTTTAGAATGTTATGTAATGATGTCTGTTATAAATTCCCCATACTCAGTATTGTCGTTATTTTTAAAAAGTCAGTTTAATTCAACCGATAAAAATGTGATATTTTATGATGTATAAAAAAGAAAGCAAGATGTGTTTGTGAAACACTGATGCCCCAATTGGCAGCTTATAGCGAGGGTTGAACTTTCTCAAGTGCAAGTCAAACTCTAAGGTCAAGGTCAGAATTGTTGGTATCCAGATGTCTTGGGAAGGGAATAAACTTGTGAAATATGAAACTCCTAGTACTAACTGTTCAAAAGTTATTGCCAAGTTTTTAAAACGTGGATCAAACTCTAAGGTCAAGGTCAAAAATATTTATACCCATGGAAAGATCTTGTCACATTTAATACACATGTGAAGTATGAAAGACTTAGCACTAACTGTTCAAAATTTATGGCCAAACTTAAAGTTTGGTAATTTTTGTAAAAGTTGGTCAAACTTTAAGGTCAAATGACATGTTAACCAAAGAAAGGTCCTGTCACAAGGATTGCATCTATGAAATATGAAAGCCATAGCCCTATCCACTCAAAAGTCATGGGCAATGTTAAAGTTTTTGCGGATAAACAGACAGACAGGCGGACGGACATGACAAAACAATATTAGTACAAGTATACCCCCGAATCTACGAGTACGTGGACAAAATAAATGAGCAATCGGTTTAATTGGGAGCATATTTACAAACAATATATATTATTATTACACACTGCACCTGTGTATTACGGTACGATATAAACTAGATAAAATTATGTTGTATTTTTTTCCATGGGTACACGATGGTTCATTTCAACTATGTCAGTCTCACTATATAAAGAGAATCTGCTGATATTTGTATACCTTGAAATGTATAAACATAAGAAAATGACCTACTGTTCCGTTTCCCTAGTGGAACATTGCAAAGAGGAAACTGAAGATGATAGCGGACTCCAAGCTCCAGTTACTGACCCAGGGAGGAAAATGGGAGGGGATCCAACATCTGACCAAGGTCTTCACTAACGCCTTCGGCGAGCCGCTGGTAGGTTATCAGACCAGATATTGTGTTCAAATGCAAAACGATTTTGGAAAACAACAGTAATTCCAACAAAATCAAGAATTGTACGTCTTCTTTGTAGGGGTGCAAACGATGGAGTAACGACATATTCTTTGGCTGGCAGAGAATAAACAGCATGAACCACTCTTTAATAAAACTTTGTACAGAAATCCCAAAAAAGTGAGTAATAATCATTGACATGATTGAAAATATTTCCCTTTCCTGTTTCACAGACACCTGATAATGTAAAAATTATGCATAAATTTTATGTGCCGAATGCCAATCAAATGCGCCCTCGTTCTTGGTGATTCTTTTGGAAAAGTAATTTTCTAACGAGCCTAGGTAGAAAATTTAATCATTTCTAAAATTAAGGGTTTTTTTTGGTAGGTTAGGGGTGACGGACATAATGCTGCAGCCCTTCCTGGAGGGATGGCCCCTTCATCAGGTGATGGAGGCCAAACGGCTGTTTATAGTGGACCTAGAAATATTACAGGATCTCCCCTGTAAAAACCCAGATTTCATAGTATGTAAACGACGCCGTATCTGTATTGTAAGATCGTGTATTTTTAGTATATCTTGAGTAACAAGTTAAAAATTATATATTTTTTTAAAGTGCCCGGTACCCATTGCCTTATTTTTTGTGAATGGTGATGGACGACTTGTTCCCATAGCCATCCAGTTGTTCCAACAGAAAGCCAATGACAACCCTGTACGTATTTCAGATTTACATGGTAGAGGTGATAGTAGGGGGGGGGGGGTACTCCTAGTCACAAGTAAATAAATGATCAATATGACCTTGTACTGCACATCTTTATTTTCAGATGTTCCTCAAAATGTGAACCTATTTTTGCATGTTCAGTGAAAGTTTGTTATTTTTTGTGTGGGTAGGTTTTCCTTCCAACAGACCCTCCCTACACCTGGATGATGGCGAAAATGTGGTATAACCTGGGGGACGCCAGTTATCACCAGTCCCTAACTCACCTAGGTAACATTCTAACCTACCGGGATTTACCTGGTCATTATTTCATCAAAATGTTTTATATCTCATAGTAATATACATCTCCTTTTTTTGTAGGCTACACACATCTGATTATGGAAGGAGTTTGTGTCGCATTTCATCGTAATCTTTCTCAATCTCATCCACTCTTCAAACTTCTAGCGCCCCATTTCTTGTACCTCATAGCCATTAACACGTAAGATGCCACATATTTACCAGTTTTGTGTACAACAGGTGCTTGCAAATGCACCCATGCTTCCCTGGGACATATGCAGCATTTTTGCCATATGCAACTACTGCAGCAATTCTTTATGCCACAATACCTCTTTTAGGAAAGAACGATTTCAGATATTTTAAAAATAAATACGATTAGTATGAAGTATAATGTTCACAACAGTCGTTGTACGGTTCAGGGCAGGTGTTTTTGACATTCACAAAACCTACATTATCCCTTTGTGGTTTATTAGACTTTTCATATTTAATCCGACTTGTGTGCTTTGACGTTAATCGATACCGTGAAGACTTTAAAATCAGATAATGAAATGTACAGCCGAAGTTAAATTGAACTTTAGTTTTCTTTTGTAGGCGGGGCCTAGAGCTCCTGGTGGCTCCGAACGGGTGGGTGGATAAAACCATGAACATTGGCATCAAAGGAATGTTCGACTTGATTGCTAGAGGGTATGGGCGTTATCTACAGTTTAAATTGCACTACGGAATTCCAACAAAATTACTAATCAAATTTGTTTGCCTATTTCAGTTGTTGCACTCAGTAGTTTATTTTATACAATCTTTTCAAGGTTAAAAGAATGGCGCATGGATATTCATGGTACACTTCCGGAAGATCTGAAAAGAAGAGGGGTGTGTATCTTAACTGATAAATATCTAAGAAAGAGTTTTTAAACAGATAGTAAAAGAATTTTTTTTTTCTTTTTCTTCCCTTAGGTCTACTGTCTCAATGGGAAAATTCTACCCGGTTACTACTTCCGAGATGACGCGTTACTCCTGTATGACGCCATCAAAAAATACGTCACTAAATACGTTAATCTTTACTACGGTAACTTGGCAATTATTTTATGTGTTTTGTGTACCTTCTGTATAAAATAAAAATGTTTTATATGTCTTGTTTTTTTTTATAATTAGCACTTCACACATGATAACGAATTTAATTGCATTGCTAGTTTTCCGTCTTGAAATACCGGGGTAAATTCATCAAGGTTCACGAAAAAGTTAACCATTTTGATTCTTCATTCTTGCCACAGATTCTCCAGAAACAATTGAGAAAGACTGGGAAATACAGAACTTTGGCCGTGAACTGACTCTTTCGCGCGAAGAAGGAGGATGTGGTTTACTTGTAAGTCTGAGCTAGGACAAAAGTGGTTTTGGTTGCTTTTGTGTTATTTGGGATGTTGATGACAATATAAGGTTCTTAATCTGTCGTTCTAGGGTGTTCCATTCGATGGTAAATTTAACAAGCCTGAACAGTTAATAATGGTGTTCACATGCATCATCTACACATGCAGTGTTGCGCATGCGTCTACAAATTTCCCGCAATACGACGAGTATGCATTCCCCCCAAATTATCCAGCTTCTATGAACGGAGTACCGCCCAAAGACAAGGTATTTAATGATTTCTAACCTTTGATAAAGACCATTTGTATATGCAAAATATACCTTGAGATTTAGTTTGGATATTTAAAAATATTCCAAATGTTTAACTCTTAAAATTCGTTTTATCTGCCATATGTATGTATATATATGTACATGTGTTTTTGCATGTTAATTTATGATGTAAATGTTTTCTTGTGATATTTTAACTGTGATAGTCGGTTTAAGAGCTCTACAGAGCTCATGTTTCTTGTTATGTAATGTATACAATGCCGACTTTAAATAAAATTTACTTACTTACTTAATTAACGTAATTGTATGATAACTGACGATCTGTCTACAGAGTCCGTTAACGGAAGAGGATATTTTGATGACACTTCCGGACAAAAAGACGACACTGGACGTCATGACGGTAACCAAGATTCTCAGCGATCGCGGTACAAAGAGTCTGGGCGACTTTGAAGTACAATACATATTTGATCCAGATGCAAAACAAATAGTCCAAGAGTAAGTTTATACATTTTTGAATGAAAAGTAAAATACTAGTACTTTTATTTATTGTTCAGACTTATCACCATCAAAAGGGCAATGCTAACTGGGTACTTTATATGTAATTGAACAGGTGCAGAAAAGTAATGCGGTTATCAAAATGATAAAGGGGCAGAGTTTTAACCGTTTGTATTGAAGAAGTAGCTCAGAATTTCATTTTTTTTTTTTTGGCAGGTTCAGAGCTGAATTGAAAGAAATAAGCATGAAAATCAAAAGGAGCAACGAACACAGAAATCCGAAATACGAATGGCTTGATCCTGAAGTGGTTCCGAATTCTATCAGCATCTAGAAGTAAAAGGGCCTTGGGTACATACTAGATAGTGCAATATGAATACCAGATGTATATAACGGAAGTACCACATTCAGAGCAATTTAACATTTTATTTAACATTTTATAAAATTTGTGTATTTACATTTTTTAGTATTTGTCATATACGTGTACATAAATGTACAACTATTTGTGACTAGATAATTTTGTTATCTTTATTATGGATTAATAAATGATTTTTTTCTACACTATTAGCTTAATGGTCATGCAACTGTTGTTTCTTTTTCTAAAAATTCTGAAGTATACGCAGATGTGCAAATAAAGGGAATCGAATTACTTGTATGTCTTTACAAATTATGATGAAATATTGGCAACTATATTTATTTGGAAAATGCCGATCCGAAACATTTATATTGTTACATGTATTATTGCTTTAGAAAATGCCAATTTTGATTTGATTAATTATACACACCTGTCTGCAAAGTTTGTTTTGTAATGGAAATCTATAATTTAACACAACATTGATAGTAGATTTTCCATCAAAAAACTCCAACTAGTCTCCTATTGCATAGTACTATCGGGGAAAGGGGAAAATTGGAAAATATTTTTCCAAATAGCATTAATCCCATGGTCTGGGAAGATGAATTGATCCCAACTGTTTCCTTTAAGCTATTGATTCTTTACAACTGACTTAATACTGACCTGACACATTATAGGCTAAATGTTCACATCAAAGTGACATGACACAACTTATTCCCATAATTAAGCACTAGCCTAGTGCGATACAAGTAACTTTGAAGCTAAAATAACTTCTTCAGTAGAATTGACCAAGTGGTGCAAAATGTCAAAAATCTTATAAAATACCCTTGCTTTATAACAATTTTATATACCCAGGGACAAAGATTTTAAAGAAATGATGCATTTTCACTATACATTCACCAGAGCCCACTCCCAGAACCCCTGCTTAATACCCTGAAGCAGTGAAGAGGATTTTCAAAGAATAAATGCATTATTACTTTATAATCAAGAGCCCACTCTACAAGTGCCCGTCCAAAGATCAACAAATAAGACAGCTATGGAGAAAGATCTGCAGATTAGCATCACTTTAAAAAATCAACATTCATTAATATCAAATGTTACATCTACATGTATATTTAGAATTTTGAAATTCAAAACAACTGAAAATAAAATAAATACATGTTTATATATCATAGCAAACTTTATATAATATTATGGAGGTTCCCTTGTGTTATTATGTTACAATAAACTTCATGTACAGTATCATATTACTGGCACTCCAAAAAAAAAAAATTAAAATATTGATAAAGTAATGAGAAAATGATATTCATAACAAGTATTGATTAATTTTTAACAAAACACTAACAGACCTAGGACATATAATAAAGACGTACATGTATACATGTATAAACATCAAATGTTCTTTTTGAACATGCTAATGAGAGAAACAAAAAACATGTAGTTTAATTCTGTGATTGTCAAAATGGAATTTGATAAATTGTACACGAGTAAGACTTCACTAAACTTGTAACTCCTGATAAATGACACTAACAACAATGCATCAAATATAACATTCTGGGATTAATTGTATGATATATAAAATTTATAAAGAATGACCAGCTCTTTCATTTCTGCTTGTCCCTTCTTCATAATAAGCACTGGAATTTTGTAAGTTTTTAATCAGGTATGTATGTCTGCAGATGATATACAGATGTCAAAGGAAATAAAGACCTCTCTTACTATAGAAAGGAGTAAATTTTTCAGTTTTTGGTTAGTTAGTTATTTTTTGGCTTGTCAAAAATATTCCCAATTCCAAATTTTGTTAGAATTGATGCACCCCCACCCCCATTTGTATTGCACAAGGACCTTTTTCACTGGATAGTAAATTACAAATGATGTTTGATTATTCTAGATAGTGTGAATACCAAGATTCACACTATTTTACCATGTTTACTACATATTTATATTTCTACCTTTTCTTAATAATTAAACCAGACAGTTCATTTTTCTGTTCTTACAAACAATTGATTTAAAAAATAATTTAATTTACTTAACAAATTATTTCTTATTCAAACTTTTAAACTCCTTAACATCAAATTACAATCATAAATATGAATTTATTGCACACATATCTGTTGTGCAAATAAAACAAGAAATTTCTGATTTTTCCTAAAAATACATGATAAATATACTAATCTTGTAGAGAAATATGTGTAGTAATAAATAAAATCAAAACTTATGGAAAAAAATCTACACATGATATTGGATTTTTAAAGGCATAAATACATATATGTACAAAAAGAAAACGTTAAGAAAAAATTGAAATGATTTTGTGAAATTTAGCACCACAAATTTGTTTTTACCTGTAGAAAAATAAAATATAACAAATATCATTGACTGTTACCACAGACTTAAAGTGTATCACAGAAGAAATAAGGTTGTGTCAGTAAATCTGCTGATGTCTTCACATTCTGTATTCAAATGAATATAATCTCACATTCTGAAAGACCTATATATGACAACTATAGATGCTCTGAACATTTTGTGTAGTTATAATTGCTGTGAGTAGCTTGAACGGTGATTTTATCCCACAACTAACTACTTCCTTGTGGCAAGAGGAATTCTCAGTCATACACACTAATTCCTGAACTATTTTCACTGGGTCATCAGTAAAAAGACTATATGGCACACATGGAAATTCAAGTCAGTCTGTCAGGTACCCAAGCCCAGTCTGAAGGCCAGCTCAACAGCCGACTGAGGAACAGACTCGTGGAAACACACATACAACTCCTTATTCTGTTTTACCAGTCGTCTGAAAAAAATCTTATTGCTTTATTTCATCCTATTTTGAAGATAAAGCTTGCACAATATACAAGCATTTTTTTTCAAATTAAAGTCAACAGTTGTGTATGATATTTACTACAGAATGAGAATTTGTCTTCTACAGAGTGTATAAAACTCTTTTCATAAAGACCTACTTCATAGTACATTTAAATACTTTTCACCACTTAGTACAATAAGAACATTTTTGGAGGAGTTGGTTCATATTCAATGTACTTTAATAAAAATTGAGAAAAACAAAAACAAAGTTAAAGCATACATATGATGAATGAGAGCATTTTAAACACTGAAACCTGTATATATAAAGTCTAGCTTACCCCACTACCCAGTATGTAAGAGTTATTGGTGGTTTCTTGTTTTCCTGAGGCTGCATATAACTAAACAGCAGTCCCTGCTCCTGGGGACATGCTGTGTTCACTCCACCATTTTGTTGATTCAGTTTGACCTAAAGCAAAAGTTTATGTACACATTTATGTATATGATGAGAAAACTATTGATTGTTAGCAAATGATTCAAAAAATAATCTATGAATGTTGATAAAATTTGTTGTACAGTCCAGAAAAAATACCCCAGGATTAAGAATCCATATTTTGTCAAATAGATCTTGGATAATTCTAATCAAAACAGTGAAACCTGAGATAGTTAAGTGACCAAATTTAATACTGTATACAGGGTTATTTTTGCCCCATATTATTTTCGCTCTTTCACACTTGCAGACATTGTTGCAAACCATGGTCAAAATGTACAATCCTCTCCCATTCTGGCCGTGGTTAAATGGGAAGAGAATATTTAGTAGCTCATTAAAATATTGACTAATGTGAGTAAAGCATAGTCAGAAAATGAACTTTGACATTTCAATACCAATCGCAGTTTACAAAATATTTATCTATCCATGGAGCTCACTGCGGAGGCAGTGCTTTTATCACTTGCTGCTACACATTTCGACTTACCTGTTGAGGAAGGCTGCTGTGAAATGAATTGCGTATTTGCAGACAACTCTTGTAGAAGTTGTAGAGAACCTGACCCTGAAGATGCCCCTGGGAGACGGCCATGGCCTGAGGGGTAGGGGAGATAAACACACCCTCCATCCCATCAAACTGAACAGCATGAAATAATGAGTTCTGACAACCTCGGGTTACTCTGTAAGATAATACACATTGTCTGTTTAAAGAAAAGGTCGCTTTATAAGCGCGTTATAGCTGAATTCTGTTTAAAACTTGCCGAGCTGAAAAGTCACTTCTATTATCTCACCTGATGACTTTGTACGGTTCTGGATGGATTGCACTGTTAATACTATTGACATCAAAAACGGAACCAGATTTGCTGCCCAATTTTCCCTGTATTGAAAAATTATAAGAATTTTTAAAAAAAACATGTAAGTTTTGCTACTAAATGTTTAGGTTCTTTTAAAATTATTTAATAGAACAATGTTTCCAAGTCTGGGAAAACAAATCAACAATTCAGGAAATCAATGAAAAGCATTTCATCATATATGAACTTAAACTGGAGTATCAGATATTAAGTCTCTAAGGATACCTTGTTGTGTGGCCCTGAACTACTTCCACTTCCCCCCGAGTCATTAGAACCATACGACAAACGACTCCCATGGCGCTTCATCACAGGAGTGGATACGTCACTATTGGATCCTCCCCTGTATTGATCTGAGGATTCCTCTGTCAAGCCTAGGAATTCAAATGTAGAGTTTTAAAAGAATAAAGAAAAAGGTGCACGATTTTTAGCTGATATACTTGCAAACATGATTTCCATTTAATGATTTTCTTTTTATATTAATATTTTAAATAATTGTTTTGTCTCTGTTATCTTTTCTGGAAACAAGAAAACCGGGTATTGCTACATATTTTACAAAAAATCATCATTTAAATATTTCAGAACGCATGTTTAAAGATAAAAACCTTTGGAGACTCACCATTGTTGGTGCTGTTAGGTGGAGAAAGAGGCCACTTAAAGAGGATTGTGTATGTGGGGGACAGAATAGGGGTGGTAGCTGTCAAAGCAAGATACATTTGCAGACACACAGTTAAAATGACAAATGGTGCAAGGTAGGCTACTTCGACTAGCAAAAGAAAACAGTGATTGAATATAATTTTTAACAGCAATGCTGTATTGATCCAGTTTTTAGTTTGAAAAGTTACAAAATTTTTATTTACATGAATTTCACAAGAAATCATAACCAAATGCAAAGTTTTTATTTAGTTTCAGATTTTTTTTTTATCCGTGAAAAATCTTTCTTTTTTTTTTTTTTTCAAAAAGTGGATCAACAGTTAAATCAAGAGAAGATAGAGAAGCAAACTGGCAGTAAGTTATTAAATAATTTAATAATAAGGAGCCATTTAAATGTACATTTGTAGTATACTGGTATGTATTGTAAGCAATAAACCACTTTTATGTGCAAAGTTTGCTCTATGTTTTGTGTGTACAAGCACTCAGAAAATTAATTAGTTACTTACGACTCTTGGGAGATTCCTGTACTTTAGCAGGACTGATAAATGAACCATCTTCCTTCTTTGATTTGATACCAAGTAACATAGAATCGGCACTGACCAAAGTAGGGCCAGTGGATTCTGCGGTCAATCTAAATAAAATATACCAAGAATTTGTTTACTTTATAACTGACAAAGTCATCAGGTATAATTGAGGAAATATTGACCTGAGTCAGGTAAAAAAATTACCTTTTCTCACAGCACTGTGCCATGGCAACATCATCAGTCTCAAACTGCAGAAGAGTGGCCTTAGCTTGACTCACATAGAATGGATCGGGAGACAGAGGGATATTCCGTGTCTTTGTGCAACCGCCCATCTCAAGCAAGGTACCCAGTAAAAAATGTTTCTGAAAATAGCAAAATTATTTCCTTTCTGTACACAACCATATTATAATAGCTACACAACAAAGTCAATATCTTGTTGGTCTTACCATTCCCACCAGTAGCAGAAACCAATGCCCTCTGGGCTCAGTATACCCTGGGGGTGGGGCCTCCCTACAATGGCATCGACGAGTGGGAAACATTTCCCTCCAGATTACCAGATCTTCTACACTCTTCCTGCCCATTAGCTGAAGCAGGCTGTGATATTTAACAAAGAGGTGGATATCTTGGAAATCAGAGACAGGTAGGTGGTTACACAAGAGATATTCCTGTAAAAATAAACAGAAAATGCACCACTTTAAATGTACATAAAACTGCAGCAGCTTGGGCTACAGATATCAAGAAATTGAGCACGACAGTGGATATTGCTATACCTTCTATCCTTTATACAGATTCCTAACATTACTATAACACAATACAATAACACCCGAGAAGGATTATTCTGCTAGGTCAAACAGACGATTTCCTAGCATTGTGAATGCTCTCCTTTCATACCTTATAGTACAGCAAGCTCCTTACACAGAAAACGCTCTCTTTTCATACCTTATAGTATAGACAGGTTCCTAACACAGTAAATGCTCTCCTTTCAAACAGATCCTCTTCTTCCTGTGAATGAATAATTTTTTTGGAATTGGAATTTGAATGGGACATAATGAAAATATAAATTTATAAGGAACACAACTCTTATAAATCAAGTTCAGGCAATGATAAGAAAACTGCTTACCATAAATTCATCAAAGTCAGCAGCCTCAAATTCACTCAATATTTCATCACAGAGTAACTGGAAAACAGAAAGAACAGCAGCACATTTTTATTGTCTATAATAAAATGGCAAATGTGTTCAACAAGTTGTATTTTTCTGCATTGAAAAATCAAATAATGAAATCTTTTTAATTTACAAGTTCAAGTGATTTTTTGCGGGAAAGTGATCTATATTTGTGGGAAATTGCCTTGAGGATTCAAATAAAGATCAATTTACAGTGTCAGATTACATAGCATGGAAGAATTCACAGTAAAATGGATTGCACAGGTGTCAGTTTAGACTCTGTTTGCTGAGCATCTAATAATTCAATGAATTTTTTTTCACAGAGATGTCACAGATAAGTACCTACCATATTTTCCTGAGTTAGGATGAGCCTCTGAGCTCCTGTTATTGATTCAAAGAAAACTTGGGCTGGAATACTGGAGTTAGTTCCATGTTGGATTATGTCTGGATTCTGAAGTACGGTGTGGAGAGTTAGGGAAAACAACTGATCCAGCTGGATGCGGAACTTTGGAGATCGAAAAGCGCTACAAGTATAAAAATACAAAAAAATTAAGTGTCCATGTAAACAAACACAACTTGCAACCATGTAAAGAAATGTCATATATATTATAATAGAAGATTGTTTACCTGACTACTGAACCAAACAGCACCTTAAGGAGTCTATGCATTTCCTTCATAACGACCTCACAGAATGCCAAGGGAACTCTGAAACACACACTTGCATTTAGAAATAATATATAAATGGGCATTAAGTTCTCTTAAAATAAGTTGTTTTTTCAATAGTTTTTTAAAAAATCTGTATTTTTATGTAACCTGGATTGGGGAAAGCCCATCAAGAACAAATCCTGGCCTTCTCGTATGAACACTACATGGATTGTTTGCCCTTTGTGACTAATGGTACAGCTAATAAAATTTATAAGAAAACTGAATTAGAAAATAGTCAAAATGAAAAAAAAATGTGCATGTTAATTTAAAAAAAAAAAAATTTTCAAATTAATTTTCAAAATATGAAAATATTGCAGTTCTTTATTAATCTAGTGCCTACCATTTAACATTATTGCCAGTGATGTCTGGCACTGCTCCACACAATGTCAGAAATAACCCTCTGACATCAACAAGTTTGTTCTCAAGGTCACAAGGAAACTGATATACAATGTCTTCTTTTGTGTTTTCTGACGACTCCTCTGGTTCAGGAGAATCTAAAGTCAAGTACATCACAGCACACATAACGTTCTTCAGGAACAAGACGAGTCTGGACTTATCCTCACCGGACACTAGTTGGAGGATATTATCCCCCAGCTGGGGGCGCCGCTTCTTGGGAGGTTGGTGTGGGGACGTGGGGACCACCGTACAGGTGCTGACTTTGTGTGGGTATGTTTTGGGAGGTAGAGGGGGAGGGACTCGCGAGGGGGGAGGGTTTTTATCTGGCCCAATAACCACAGGAAGTTGGAAAGTTAGCTTTACCTGTAATAACACCAAGAAAAACATATGATTTGTGTTATAATTATGAATTTATCTCTTAAATAAGCTTATTTACAATTGAAAGACTATATAGAAACATTAGAAGCAACAACATAAATATTTTTTTTAGAAGAAAAGTTTAAATTTTGTATTAAATCTTACCGGTCTATTTGTGATCGATCTGAAAATTTCATCCAAGTTAACCCATGTTAATTCAATGTCATTTAAGCACACCAACATATCTCCTACAATCAGAAAGAATGTACATCATAAACCAATATGCCTGGGAATCATTCCTCTTTTGTAAAATTCATTCTCTTTCTTTTCAAATATTATAAGTGAGTTAAGGTTAATAAAAACAGGACAATTAAACTGCAAACAAAAGGAAAAAAATTAGAAATTTACCTCTAAAAATCTGAGCCGACTGTTTGGCAGGACTGGCCTGTAACACATCTTGTACAATAATTTTCCTCTCCCTTGCCAGTTTTTCCAATGTGCTACCATTTAGCATAAGCTGAGGAGTCCTTTGGTTATACTGACATAACACAATCCCAAAAAGCTTCTCACATAGAATAATTCCAGATTTATCACTTGAACAACAGTTTCTTAAGTTTGGCACCAAATAAACATATTTGATTTTATCCTCACTTTGAGGGCAGGAAGAACTAAGAATTTGACCATTACTAATCTTTTTATGAGTATCAATTTCAACACAATTTTCAGAATTTAAATCATTTTCCTTTAACAAGTTCTGATCGCTAAACAAAATTTTAGGTTTAAAATGTTTGTAACCACTTCCCGACACTTGTACCTCATTTTTATTATACTTTGTCTCTACAGCAGAATTCTTGGTAAATAAAGGCTGGTTGTTATTTTCCAGATGACTAGTATCCCCATTGTATGTATACGAGTTCCCAGAATTCAGAGACTGTGACTGGTCCCCGTGATGGTTTGAGGACCAGTCTGATACATGGCCTCTTTGCTGATGCTTGTTTCTGTTTCTGCCATCCTGTTTCACATCCAGATAAAAAAGATCACCCTGTTTATGCACATATGGCCCCCAATTTTCCTGGCATTTGCTGAAATTAATGATCAGATTATAATTTGATTTAAATATTAAATGAAAAATTAAACAGCATTATTAAGACAAAAGATATGAATTCTTTTTAATTTGTATACAACTTACTCTCTTTTTATAAAATATACTCAAAATTTATGGTTATTCAAACATAAACAAATAAGAGCAGATGTATGATATTTCATCAAACAAAATCAACATCCCAAAGTAAAATGTCCAACATGCACCAGTACAAGTCCCTTTACCACAATCTGATACAAGATTCACGAGTCTTATCCTCAGCATGCAGTGTTTTGATTCTCTTTACACCATGAATCAGATATCTTTTTAAGAACTTGTTCAACCCAATTCATGCAGAAAATTCTGAACATGTAAAAATTCTCCCTCTGCCAAAAGTATAAATGTAAATCTAACATAGCTCTTGTTTACATCAATAAAAGTACAATTGATTCATCATCTTTGAAATGAGCCATCTTACATTGTTACATCATAACTATATCTTTTGGTAAAGGAAGTGAAAATTTATTTTTAAAACTTTCAAAGAATGTTCAACCACAAATCTTAATTAGCCAAAATTGAACGTCAAACACAGTTCCTACCAAGCAGCTACACTGCTTCATTAAATTATAAAGATATGGAAGGCTCTTTATAAACCCCTCATCAGCTTCTCATTGTCAGAGTATTTATTTTTTAAAAGTCTTCTCCTTAATTGATGTAAACAATGAACAACCCATAATACATGTGTTCTGATTGGTCCGTGCATAAATATCCCCTGTGCACATTTAAAAAAAAAAAATACTTGTCTCTTAGAGCACTGATGGCAAAAATTCGTCCTGGGCAGAGCTGTGGGTTCTCCTCAGAGTATTGAGAACTGTACAATCCATCTGAAGGATGTATATAAGTACTGTAAATCACTTTTTATTCGCGAGAACTTTATTTTCACGTAATTACGCGAGACAATGTGCTCGCGAAAATTTAATTCTCGCGTAAAATAATGTTCCTTATTAAGGTTATACAGAAAAATAACCACAATTCGTGAAAATTTTGTCTCGCTAATCAAGAGTCAATGACTATCTCGCGAAAATAAGGTGTCGCGAAAATTTAGTGATCTACAGTATCAGGTACATTTTCAATTTGAATGTAGTTATCCTTTTGTTGCAAATAGTTTTACATCACCTTTCCTCTTAAAAAATTACATCACCTTTCTTCTTTAAAAATTATATAAATGTATAATAGTGAATAATATGCATTTTTATAGCGAGTGCAGCGAGCTCTATAGACAAATCTGTACGAGCAAAGGAAATTCGGAATGAAATCTGTACATACATCAGCCAAATTTGCGTGTGAAACCTTCCCAGAATTCCTTTGCTACCCAATACTCTCTGCGCAAATAAATAAATAAATAATAACATAAAGCATAAAAGGCTATAAGTTTATAGAAATCTTTAAAAGAAACAAAAAATATAACTCTGCAATGTCTTTCAACAAAAATTGCACTAGGTCTATAGTTTCAACTAGACGCCCGGCTGTTTCTGTAAACCCTGACGAGCTTTAGTGTGACGTCACAGTCTAGATGTCTCGTGCGACTTGAAGTGGCGGATCAACGTTTCAGGTGTATTTTTGAAGGTACAACTGCGCTAGCCCCAACAGTCACACCGTAAAACATATTAATCTTAAGCTCTTAAAACAATGCCCAGGCAAAGAGAAAATTTAGACCTTGCATTTTGATTCAAATGATTTTTCCCAAAGTTACCCCTGTGGTCCCATAATCCTTAGTGAAATGCATCTTGCTGCAAGCTATGTTCTCTCCGTAACAAGACATTCCAAGAAAAAATAAACTTGTCTTGAAATTGATTGTAAATTTGTAATGGATGTATAGCTGATGAATAGAAGATTGGATGTTTTTTTAATTAAAATTTGCACTGTTCAGACTTTGATTTGGTAATGCAATTCAACATACATAGGATGCCAGGCGCGGATCCAGGATTTGGAGTTAGGGGGGGGCGCCAAAATTAGGCAAGGGGTCTGGGGGCCGCCTTAAGGCCCCCATTGGGTCCAGGGCAAAGCCATGGTGGGGGCCCAGGGGGCGAAGCCCCCGGAAGCTCCTGGATTCTAGAGATTTTGAAGGGTTAAAATGAGGTCTACCAAAGCCCTGGTGGGGGTCCAGGGGGCGAAGCCCCCGGAAGCTCCTGGATTCTAGAGATTTTGAAGGGTGAAAATGAGGTCTACCAAGTAGACATATTTGATTTACGCTAACTTTGACAATTTTAGGGGGGGCGCGCGCCGGGTGCGCCCCCCCTTAAATCCGCCACTGGATGCCATGTGACATCAGAGTCTATACATAGCAAAGGGCTATGCGGTTTGATGAGTCCTAATAGTAGCACTGTCAACACATTAAAAATCAATTATTTTTTTTACTGACAGAAGTAAGGACTGAAATTGTTTGACATATTTTGTTGTTAGACAGGAGGGGGGGGGGGGTTGTTACAATAACCATTCACAGCATCTTCACTAGCCAAAGCTTTCTGAAAATGCGTTGGTACAACAAGAATACTGATTAAAAAAATCTTTTTTCCAAGATAAAAATTATTCTATCTCTTTTTAATGAATTTTCTTTGTTTATCAAACCCTATTTTAAAATGCCAAAGTTTTATGATAAATTCAATATCAAATGAACAACAAAAGTCAACAATATTAAAAAACAGCAAGATAACTAAATTTTGTAATGGATTATATATTGCAAAATCAAATTATTTTTATCAAAGAAAATATGTACTTTGATACTGTAACAGGTGCCCTTTGCTGTTGAATCGCACTCTTCTCTTCATTCGACTTCGTGGAGTTGATAGTTCCAACGTTGTTTCGCGGTGTTTTTTCATTTTTAGGATCAAAAAATTGTTGGAAATGAGAGTTAAATGCCATAATATTGCAACGATTCCTTCAAAATTACATGTTTTTAAGTCCAGTTAATGTTATTGTCCCCCAAAGTCCTCCATTTTGTTTACATCCGGGTATCTCTTAAAGTATGTGGGTTACGTGACTCCAAAAACAGAAGAGGTTATAGAAAGGAATGTAACTCTAGCACATATTGAATTATCTTTCGTTGGCCCTCCCAAATATTGAATTTCGTAAGTACTTATTTTTAAAATTACATAATAAAATCATAATAATTAAATAAAACGATTTTATTAAATTTATATAAATGATTCTTATCATGTAGAATTTGATTTTTTTTTCATAACCGATTCAAATCTATAAAATGACAACCTTTTTTCCCAAGGGTAACCCCCCTCCACATTTTCCTTAGTTCCCTAATTACTTTATTGATATACTTATATATATATATATATATATATATATATATATATATATATATATATATATATATATATATATATATATATATATATATATATATATATATATATATATATATATATATATATATGTTCTTTATTCTTAACTCCCTCGAAATCGAATGTAATGTCTGAAGACAATTCCTGCTTGTCAAAGAATTTTTGCATGATCCCATCCCCATCTAGTTAGAATAATCTAACTGTGTCTCGGTACAGGCCTTAAACCGGGTCCGTAGGACAATATCATTTTAACGATAGAACATTCTATCTAATCCCCATCCCCCATTGGCGTCGGAAGCAAATTGAAAGTGGGGGGGGATAAGTGTAAAAAAATTGTTATACCCTCAAAAAAACCTGACAAACAAAAAAAAAAGGAAAATGTCCATTTCCCAAACACGAAAATCCTATTCCGTAGGGGGGAGGGGGGGTTGGGGGGTTGGGTTCGAACTTCAATACCAAATTTTTTTTTCCAAACACCACCACTTTCCCCATTTCTAACCTATACTGCGACGTGTCTGTGGAAAGTGGGGGGGGGGGCTAAACCTACGAAGCAATGTTCAATGTCTATATACTAAGTATATATTTTCGAAAAAAAAAAAGTGGAGGGGGGGCTAAGCCCCCCTAACCCCCCGGTTCCGACGCCTATGCCCCCTACGCAGAATTTTGATGTGCCCCATAAACCTCGATCAATAGCTTCATTTGGGCCTACAATGATTTTTTAACAACATTATTCTGATATGGAGGAGAGCAATACCGGTATTTCAAACTTTTCTCCCCAGAAATACATGTAGGGTTTTTCAAAATAAAAAAAATGGCCCAGGAGCCACAATGCTCACCTAAGTTGTCTTTTTCCCGCTTGAGAATTTATTAAAAAGACTTTTCCTTTTTATTTCCATGCTAAACCTAAAAGCAATCAGATACCTGATCAGTCAGCAAGGGCACAGCAGAGTGATTTCAGCAGCTAAGGACAAGGCTAAAGGGATGAAAATGTTACAACTTGACAATGACAGGAGCTGCTAGGAGGCTAAAAGTGGGGTTTTTTTTGTATATTTCAGCTCAGATCATGAAGATACAATTATTATAGTTCATATTCAGGATTTCAGGTATCAATCGCACAGTCTTTCCTTTTCTCTGTGATATGAGAAAAGCTTGAAGAGTATACATGTAGATATTTCTTCAAATTGTTGAAATATCAATTAACTAGAGCAAAATTTTGTCTTTTAGTTTGATTACGATTCAGTAAGCACCGGAACAGAGTCAAACAGACAGACTAAGATACCGGGTAAGTAAATGAACCTTCTCAAAAATTTTGAGGAGCCTATTTTGAAAGAGTAGGCAGTTCAAGTCAAATCGGGTCCACAACACCGTAACGGGCACAATATAATACAGTTTCTTTGGTTTTTTGTTGCAGGCTGCACAATGCTTTTCTTTCTTGTACAATACCATCTGGTCGAGATTTTTTTCTGTATTTTTTTTAATGTGTTTTTTGAGAGATGTAAGTAGTTATGATTGTCATGCATGTGAATAACGTTGTTCAACACTGAAATTGATAATAGATTTTAATAAACCATGCACCTTTCTTTGTGACATTAATCAATTTATTTATAGAGTATTAGTATGATCCGTGCGTTTGTGTCATTTCTATATATCCCGACATGATTAAAGAATTTTGACAAGTCTTATAGTGTTTAACAGACTAAAGAGTACAGTACAGAAGCACGAGTCTTAAACTCCTTTGATCCACTAAGCGGAATTCCATATAAATGTTTACAAATCCAAGGGGGTATCAGCTCTTGGGGCGAAAATCTACTCAGCGCATCCAGCATGTTCTTGTAGTTAAGAGGGGTCAATGTCAGATCTAGCGTGAACTTTGACCTTTATGTTATCTAATACACATTATTCTATTGATTCTCCGCTTAAGTGTACACATAACCCGTCAACGACATTATCTATCATTATTTATCTACTCCTAGACACACACGGAGGGAAAAAAGGAACACACTATACAAAAAGGAGGAGAGAGTAGAGCAAATAGACATACCTGCGTGATAAGATACTTCTTATTCCATCAAAGTCATCTAGTGTGTTTCTTTTTCTGCTTCGATAGATCGGTAATGAAAGTCCAAACATACTTTTTCTTGAACACTTGTCAGTTCCATGTGGAAACTTTCGGAAACGTCCGGGAATGTTGTATTTACTAGTATGGACCTTTCTTTCATTTCTTTTTCTCTCTTTTAAGCCTTGAGTTCTATAAGAAAACAAATTGTTACTTCTGCGAATCAGACTAGAACAAATTGAAAGTTTTTTGTTTGCTTTAAAAGACATGATAAGAAGTCAGGTTCACTATCAATCTGGTTTTGTAACAATCCAACAAAACTTGATAACGTTCTTTTGTGCTTCAACCAATCTATTATTTCAGAAGAATACGGGAACATGTTTTGCAAGAACATTTAGACTCTTTCTCGTAATTAATTCGGGAGCTAATTTTCTCTTCCATTGAAGACTGACAGTCAATCAGTATTGGCATTGAGAAAGAATCTTTATTGCAAAGACTTAATATCGATCGGGTAAATTTAGCAAATTTTTGGTTGAGAGATAATGACGAAAGATTCATCTGAGTCATTGCAGGCCATCCAGCACACAGATAAGGAAAATAGCCTCGAATGCATTAATAGCTGGTGCTTTTTTCTTTCCTCTATCAAAAGAATTTTTTTAAAATGCAATGTAATCATGCAATTGTACCTGGGACATTTTGTAAAAACTACGAATGTAAAACATTTAATATAATATCATGAACATTGAAGAGGCTTACTTATTAAATATAGTGATATTCCCTTTTATCGCCTGGAATATCTTACCGGGTCTAAATAGCCTTGATTGAAAACCGGAAGAGTTTTGAAATTCTGTTTTCTCATTTTTCGACATTAATTTGAAATATGATTGCGAGACCCAGTTTTACTAAGGTCGTCCTAATGATGTTGCCAGCTATGATTAATTGCTGTTAATAAGTGGCTAAAACTAACAAAGAATCCACCATCTAAATTCACATCTCTTGACAAAAGTACCATACCACGTTGATCGCCATATTAATATTTTGTTTATTACTAGTTCTCAAACTATAAGCACACGATGTTGTGCAGTTTTAAAAGAATTGCAAATCACGACAAAAAAGTGCCATAGAGAGACAAGAATTCGACCGATCTGCAAGTGTCGTCTTACCGCAATACGCATTCTTTGTCGGATTAAATACTTAGATTATATAGCGGGTAGGCGATTGTCATATTTAATCTGTATAAGTGATTTCTATTGTACCCTATTGCCGTGTAATTGCCGTAATGATTTTGTACCCAACATAACGGATGTCAGAGGAGACTACTGTCGATCAAAAACTGTAACCGTATTGCTGCAGGGTGTCCGCGACAGAAATTGCACGTGCTGTCACATAAAAGTAGACCTGAAGTGATTATGTCTCGGAATTAGAATGTTTAATAGATTTTAAATCAGTTTAATGGACAGAAGGTTTCCCCTTGTCAAATTAAATCACTGTCACTAGAATGGAAGAAGGAGCGGGGAAACTCCATGACAGGGTAAACCTCGACATCATACGCTTGTCATCCTTATAAATATTGAGAAATGTTTTTCGTAATGTATGAATTCAATCTACAAATCTATCACCGTTACTTAATAATTGTAATATTTTATGGGATAGTTATATGTTGGGGACACAAAAAAAATAACTACAAATATTTTATCACTGCAATACCTCAGATAAGGAAGCTGCAGGTCACTTTCAATTTGTCCGATGAATTTCATTTTTGTCCCTCCTCGTTGTTCGCAACAAGTAAGAAAAAATATGATCTTCATGATTTCAGCTAAATTTAAATTTTGCACTAAGATGTGTTAATTTGTGTTAAAACAATATCTATGAATATTTTGGAGTTCTTCTAACAATTTGTAGGAATTGCTATGGGTACAAATTCTGCAGCTTTATTAGCAGCCCTAGTTTTGTAATTCAAAACTTACACATAAGAAAGAGAGAACACTTGCTAAGTCTTTCAACTCAATTATCGACGTATTATCAATTAACAATAGTTACTTCCATTCATAAATAGACTCAGTATATCCCAGTGAACAGAAATTGGAATAAAAGATTTAATTGAGAGGGCTGGGGGTTGTGGCCATTTTGATCTCCTTTGCAAGAAGAGATATACAAACTGATCAAATTATAAAACTAAAATGTACGAATTTTTTTCTTTGTCAAATGATAGTTGATAGCCTAAGATATAATATCTGAAAATTTAAGTTACTAGTATATCTGATGGTTAATTTGTTGACCTCCAGCCTCCTTAACGATACCACAAAGCCTGAAAAATCTAATTGATATTTGAATGATTTGGTAGAAAGGGACGTTAATGATAGCCTAACAACAAAACATTACTATAAGTTAACTTGATGACTTCAACTTTTCTATCGTCAACTTCTCTTTTTTACAGCAATATACCCTTATTACCTACATATGGAGTGTATGCCTCCAGTTGGTTCCATAATCAATGGCATGCTCTACCTACGAACAGTTTCTAAAACGAGGTAAGCTATTTGCAAACAAGTTTAGGAATCAAAATCCAGTTTAAAGTCAACATTTGTCAATTTCTACGGATTTTTACATTTG